GAGGTCAACCAGCAGACAAAAGATCTCTCTCTCTCTAATTGCCTTTCAAATAAATAAATAAATCCTAAAAATAAGTGAGAGGGGCCGGCACTGTGGCATAGTGGGTGAAGCTACCACCTGCAGTGCCAGCATCCCACGTGGGCATTGGTTTGGATCCCGGCTGCTCCACTTCCCATGGAGCAGTTTCGATGCTCCACCTCAGATGGCGGTAATTAGGGCGGAGGTGATTAGGATAGAGGGGAAGCCCCTTTGGGGCTTAAGTTGACAAATTTTGACTTCCTTTGAAGCAAAGTTCTCATTTATTTATTTTTGTTAAAAATGTATTTATTTGAAAGGCAGAGTTACAGAGAGGCAGAGAGAAAGGTCTTCCTTCCGTTGGTTCACTCCCCAAATGGCCACAACAGCTGGAGCTGTGCTGATCCGAAGCCAGGAGCCAGGAGCTTCTTCCAGGTCTCCCACGTGGGTGCAGGGGCCCAAGGACTTGGGTCATCTGCTGCTGCTCTCCCAGGCCACAGCAGAGAGCTGGATCAGGAGTGGAGCAGCCAGGACTTGAACCTGCACCCCATGGGATGCCAGCACTGGAGGTGGTGGCTTTACCCACTACGCCACAGCACTGGCCCTGCAGACACTTTTGGGGAGGTGGGCTGGGAGGCCTGTGGACGTCTGACTAAGTGGATTTGGATTGCAGCCACCCCTCAGGTGGGACGGATCAAGAGTACTTTTTCCCCCCACCCCCCACCCCCCACTCTGTGTGTGTGTGTGTGTGTGTGTGTGTGTGTGTCTCCCTCTCTCTCTGCCTTTCAAATTAAAGATAAATAAATCTAAACAGAAACAGAGGCCCTCCTTCGAGGTATCCACCTTATATGCATGTAATGGACCACGGGCTAATTCCTCTGAGTTCCAAGATCAGGAAGTCAGCGCTTTGTTTCCACTGCCTTTAAGGCTCAAGTCTGAGATCCTACACAGAAATGAAGCTGTCGGTGTGTGTGTGTTGGGATCCTGGGAGGGGCCACGTCATGGATGGCCTTGGGGGCTGAGTGTGGGAGTTGGGATTTGGTTCCAAGGAAGCTGGGCTCGGAGCTCCCCACAAAGCCTGTTCCCAGGTCCCTGCCCCCACGCTCCCCTCCCCCACCGTAGTGCTCAGGGCCAGTCCTGAGTCTTGCACGTGGGGCTAACCCACGGGATGCTTTGCTATCATATGAGTTACGTGTGGCACAGTTGGGCTGACAGCTGCCCCGAGAGCATCTGTGTGTTTGGTGATCTTATTTCTGCTCAAAACCAAGAGCTTTCTTTGGGCGTGTCTCAGGCAATAAAAGGAGCGCGTGGTTTTTCTTTGAGACCAGGGGCATCACAGAGGACGTGCAGGCCATAGCTTCATTGCGTAGGTGCCAGGGGCTCTCGCACCTGTTCTAACAGTTTAAGCAGGAAACCTTAGAAAGACCAGAGCATCGAACATGGAAGGGCTTGAGGAAACAGGAACCTTTCACTGTATCAGTCACCTGACTGGATGACTCATGTTCTTATCACAGCGTTTCTCATTCGTCTGCCTGTTTCTCCCAGGGATGTCACCCATCACTCCTCACCGGGCAGGTCCAGGCAGCCCGCCGTCACCAGGAGCCACTGCCTGGACTGGGGTGGAGACCCTGAGCTGAGCCTCATCCCAGCTCGCTGGGTCTGGATTCTGGAGTCTGGGATGCTGCACCCAGCAGCCCAGTGTACAGTTGAGGTGCAGGGGGGCCGCGTGCGCCCCAAGAAAGCCAGACCCCAGGGAGAAGAAAGGAGCGAGGGACAAAGGATGGGGGAGGGGAGCTGGATGTAAAAGGGACAAGAGCAGCACCCAGTAGCCACCCCAGCGGGGTTTCCGGTCCTGGGACCACAGCTCCAGCTTTGCAGGTGCGCTTTTACCTGCCCACCTTCTGAGGTGCAGGTGCACTCCAGCGCCAGGCGGTTTCCTGGGGCCCAGAGGCAACGAGGACTGGGAAGATATTTCACTCTCCAAACCCGCTTCCTGGCTCTGCGGGCCAGGCAGGTGCGCCCTACAGAGTCATTGTGGGGCCGGCCATGTGGTAGATCTGACAGAAACTTGGGCTCCATCTGGAATTGTTCTGTGATTACCCAGCATCAATCTACACTCTTTTCCATACCAACCCTGGAGACCCACCCTGCCCTGACTCCTCCCTCCTCACCTCCTCACGGCCCCACCCTCCCACACCGACCCCGACAAGGGGCTCAAGTAGGTCAAGGCCAAAGCTCATCTGGCGAGCACTGGAAATCATGTTTTAACAAAGGGTTCACTAATTCAGCCCCCGAGGATGCACACCACTTCCCGAGCCCACAAACAAGGGGCCGAGCAGGACGCTCGGGGACCAGGAGTGAACCCCTAAAGGCAGGCCACGGCGTCGGCCCCCAGGAGCTGACGTCAGACGTAAGCACACATGGAGTAGGATGTGCACAGACGTCTGTGAAGTGGCGTGTGCCACGTTTGAACTTCGGACCTTACTTAAACCTGGAAAACCTCAGTATGGGCGCACAACGTGTTTCTTCAAAGCCCAGACGGGAGATGCTGCAGGCCTTGCACGCGGTCCCTGTCCCGCGTCGTCTGTTTGCTTTGCGTCAGTGGAAACCAGTCTGAGCTCACAGGCAGGGCCTGAGCTGCAAGGCCGGGTACTTCCGGTCATTTCCTCGGAGATGGCACCTGCCGTTTCCAGGGACGCTTATTCCGCGGTGACTTTTCCACGGTCCTTTGCTCTGTCGACCTAAGCGCTCTTTTCCCACAACTCCCGCTGTGTCCACTTCTGCCCTCGGAGCCGGCATGGGCTCCTCTCTGTCGGCCACCACTGCCCTGGAGGCTGACCCCCCCGGCCTGGTCGCAGCCCTCTTTAACTTGAACGCCCGTTCTCATCCCCTGCCATGGCCCTCCTGCCATGTGGCTTCTGGGTCTTCCATTCTAGAAAGGCGGTGCCGCCACCCCAGACTCATCTGAACCATCAAGCCGGCTAATCTGAGCAGAGTGTTGAGAACACACCCGGGACGGCTCACGTGCGCTCCAACTGGCCGGGGTGAGGGTCACTGTGGGGTGTGCACAGAGGAGACGGCATGCAGATTCGTGGGCCCCCCTCCGTGTGGGAAGACCCCACTCACTCTGTGTAGGAACACCCCCAACCACTCTCCATGTGGGAACACCCCCCCGTGTGGGTATACCCCCCCGTGTGGGTATACCCCCCTCCCCACTCTGTGTGGGAACACCCCCCCACTCTCCATGTGGGAAGACCCCCCTCCCTGTGTGGGTAGACCCCCCTATTTGATGGGGCCCTGGCAGGACAGCGTCTGTCCCCTGGGCCGGGACTTCATCCTCCCTCGCCCAGGCTCTCCAAGCCTTCGGTCCGGGGCACTGAGCTCGCGGCCTTCATCCTCCACTGAGCGTTACACCCGCGGTGTCTCTGGTTCTGACGTGGCACGGACTGAGCCACGTCACCAGTACCCAGGTCTCCAGCCTTGAGAGGGCCTGCCGTGGACTTCTCACCTCCTAACCTTGTGCACCAGTTCCCCTCATCAGTGTGGCGCAGTGTCTGCCATCAATCCTCTCCCGTGTCACACTGAGAAGCACATTTTCAGTGGTCACCCGGGAAACCAAGCAGCTCCTTCCCTGGTTGTCCCTCCTTCACGTCCGGGAGCTGGGCAGCCACTTCTCGATCCCGCACCAGCTGGCACACTGGGCTGTGGCTGACACGCGGCTTCTCTCCTGCTAGATTCCGGCTCTTTCCCCGCTGGTCACTGTGAAGAGGGCGCCGTGGGAGCTGAGGGGGACGCCCGGCAGCACAGCCCCACTGCCCACACCCGGTAAGGACCCCGTTCCGCTGGGTCCTCACCCTGGCACGGGGCTGGCGCAGGGCCCACAGCAGGCCTTGCCTCCAGCTCGCCGTGATGCTGACAGCTTGATGCCAGGACAGACGCCTCGCCCTGCAGAGCTGCCCAGGACGCGCAGGAGCCAAGCTCAGAGAAAGCACGGAGTTCTAAAGCCGATGGGGAGAGAGCCCGCTGACCATCAGGGAGAGAGCACCTGCTGACCAATGGGGAGAGAGTGCCCGCTGACCAGCGAGGAGAGAGTGCCCGCTGACCAATGGGAAGAGAGTGCCCGCTGACCAGCGAGGAGAGAGCACAGCTGACCAATGGGGAGAGAGCACAGCTGACCAATGAGGAGAGAGTGCCTGCTGACCAATGGGGAGAGAGTGCCCATTGACCAATGGGGAGAGGGCACAGCTGACCAATGAGGAGAGAGCGCCTGCTGACCAGCGAGGAGAGAGCACAGCTGACCAATGAGGAGAGAGTGCTCGCTGACCATTGGGGAGAGAGCGCCTGCTGACCAGTGAGGAGAGAGTACAGCTGACCATTGGGGAGAGAGCGCGCACTGACCAATTGGAGATAGAGCCCACTGACCAATGGGGAGAGAATGCCCACTGACCAATGGGAGTGCCCGCTGACCAACAGGGAGAGAGTGCCCACTGACCAATAAGGAGAGCGCCTGCTGACCAATGGGGAGAGAGTGCCCGCTGACCAATGAGGGGAGAGCACCGCTGACCAATGAGGGGAGAGCACCCACTGACCAGTGGGGAGAGTGCCCACACGCCCTCTCAGCTACCTCCCAGAGCTAATGGTGCCTAGAGAAGTGAAGGAAGGGGAGAGGCGATGTTTGAGAGGGAGACTTGGGAATCGCTTGGGGTCTAAAATCTTCATTCATCTGGAAACGTGCTGCACTGGCCACCCCGGAGGCGGTCACACAGGAGGAGAGGCTCCTGAGGCGGGAAGCCCCAGCCCTGAGGTGGGCCTGCAGGTGGGGTCCTCGCCCGAGGCCGCTCCATCCCCCTCGCTGCCAGGGCACAGCCGCAGTGGAGGGGTCATGCGTCTCCCTGTGGCTATGCTGGGTGCAGTGCGTGTCCCCTGGCCACTTCTCTAAGATGTCAGCCACAGCACCTTTGCCCAAAGAGTCCCACACACCTGTCTTATGAACATAGCACAAACATGGCCATTTTAATCGCTGGTCTTGCAGACGAGTGTGCACATGCATGTGCGTATATACATACATATCAAATTGGAGGACTGACACGGCATTTGATACGTTTACTCTAGCGGTGGGTGGGTTCAGACAATGCACCTCAAGGACGATACAGGTCTTTGTGGGTGTTTTTGGTAACCTGGCTCTGCTGCGCAGACGAGATCTGAAGCTTGGGTTGGGCTGGGTTGGAGATGTCCATAATGAGGAAGGCAGAGCGTGTGGCGTTCCATGGGCAAGCGCAGCGTGTGCGATGCCCTGGCGGTGTCAGAGCGTCCACACCCCGTGCCCCAGACGTCTGCACGTCACGGAGTCAGCTGCCGGCTTCGTGGTGACTCTGGGTGTGCTGCCCACACAGACGCCGTGACAAGTGAGGCGAACAGTGAGGCTGGATCCTGCTTGCAATCGAGGTCGAGAGTGGACTGTGTTTCAGACTGAAGATGCTGAAATGCCCAGTGTCCACCACATGGCCTCCCCGGCACCCGGCGGCAGCGGCCTGAGGCTGTCCTGCTCACAGCCCCGGTGAGTCAGTCAGCACGGCGGCCCACGGTTACCACTTCCCGGGGATGGAGACCCCACACTCGTACCAGCCCACATAGTAGTAGGGAGTTCCAAATCCAATCTGGCCAAAGCTGACGGGCTCCTGGCGGTACTGGCGGTAGTAGCCTGGGAGGCAGTGAGACAGAGGGGAAGGAACCATCAGACACAGAACCAGCGGTCACAACGCTCACCTCCAGCCTCCTCCAGGCAGAGCTGACCTCACGCCGCGTGTGACTGCACACGCAGCCATGCCTCACGCCACGTGTGACTGCACACACAGCCATGCCTCACGACGCCTGTGACTGCACACGCAGCCATGCCTCACGCCGCCTGTGACTGCACATACAGCCATACCTCATGACGCCTGTGACTGTACACACAGCCACGCCTCATGCCGCGTGTGACTGCGCACACAGCCATGCCTCACACCATGTGTGACTGCACACACACAGCCATGCCTCACGCCACGTGTGACTCTGTACAGACACACAGCCATGCCTCACGCCGCATGACTCCACACACACAGCCATGCCTCACACCGTGTGTGACTCTGCACACACAGCCATGCCTCACGCCACGTGTGACTGCACGCACAGCCATGCCTCACGCCACATGTGACTGCGCACACACAGCCATGCCTTACGTCGCATGTGACTCCGTACAGACACACAGCCATGCCTCACGCCGCATGACTTCCACACACACAGCCATGTGTGCACGGGGTCACGGCTGCCCGCAGGGTTTGTCTCAGTCCCCGGAGGTATGTGGCTACGGCAGGAAGGAGCAGTCCCACCCCTCCTTCCCTCCCGCTCTCCACAGAAGGCTGTGTGGAGCTGAGGGCTGCGAGCACGCACAATGGGGCAGGCACTGAGCTGAGCAAGCACCCAGTCCTCAGAGCTCAGTAGGCACCCAGTCCTCACAGAGCTCAGTAAGCACCCAGTCCTCAGAGCTCAGTAGGCACCCAGTCCTCAGAGCTCAGTAAGCACCCAGTCCTCAGAGCACTCAGTAAGCACCTTGTCCTCACAGCACTCAGTAAGCACCCAGTCCTCACAGAGCTCAGTAAGCACCCAGTCCTCACAGAGCTCAGTAAGCACCCAGTCCTCAGAGCTCAGTAAGCACCCAGTCCTCAGAGCTCAGTAAGCATCCAGTCCTCAGAGCTCAGTAAGCATCCAGTCCTCACAGAGCTCAGTAAGCACCCAGTCCTCAGAGCTCAGTAAGCACCCAGTGCTCACGGAGCTCAGTAAGTACCCAGTGCTCACAGAGCTTAGGGTCTCCAGGCTGCCAGAGCTCCACCCAGGAGGACTGAATTCTGAGTCTGTGGTGACTCTTAGAGCTTTCAAGAAACTCCCTCCACAGAAACAGCAGGGCAACACTTCTCCTCTCCCTTAAGGGAAGGGATGCCCCATGCTCCAGACTCCCCTGGCCCCAGCTGCTCCAGCCTGGTAGAGCTGCCTGCGTTCCCCCGGTGAGCTGATGGACTAGCGGCCCCCTGTGTACAGCACACCGTGGCCACCGGCACAGACACCAGTGGAACGCAGACCACGCCTGGGGCACTGCAGGATTCTGAGAAGTTAATGACCGAGACACAAGTGCTGAGCTGGCTGATGTTGAGTCAGTGGGGCCAGACTGGATGTTTGATCTGACACTGCAGATTCTGTGAAGTGCTTGTTGGACAGGGTTAACACTTAAATCAGCAGACTTTGAGTGAAGCGGGTCACCCCCTGTACCATGGTGGGCCTTGTGCAATCAGCTGACAGTCTAGACAAGAAAAGGGCTGACATCCCACCAAGTGGAGGGACTTCCGCCGCTACTCCCTGGTCTCCGGCTTGGCAGCAGCCTCCACAGTCACATGATGTGACTCCTTAAAATAAATCCCTCGATTGGTGGATAGACAGCAGACAAGACAGACGGTGGATTAGATTACAGGTAGACGGATTAGAAGGACGGTGGGATGGATGTATAGATAGAAAAATAGATATTTAGATAGATGATTGATTGATAGATCCTATTGGTTCCGTTTCTCTGGATGAGATAACTCTGATAACACTCATTTTAAATCCTTGAAAATAGGTAATGGTTTTATTAAAGTATTTCTCAAGCTAAGTATCTAGGCGGGTCAGCATATCTCATGTCCCAGAATGTGTGATTCCCTAAGGGTACAGAGCAGGCTTCACTTAGCTGCTCTGATGGTGGGGGGAGTTGGTAACACACGGGGGGTTGCACTGGGGGTGAGTACACCCATCGCCCCCACACCTACAGAGCCATAATCAAATAGCTGATTCCACTGTCTCCTGAAACCCAACGCGCTGGGTCTGCACGTTTCTCTCTGGTGTCTGTACTTTTGCTCATGCCATTCTCCACTCCCTGCATGTTCAGCCAACCCTCAAGGCTCACCATAGAGCCTGCATCTTCCGGAAGCCTTCGTTAGTATCCTCACATGGCCGCCACCTTCAAAATCATACAGTGACCATCATAATCACCTGACAATAGGACCAGCTTATGATGCAATTCTTGTCATTATCTGAACTTGAAGGTGTTCACGCTTAGTTACTGTCTCACATCATCATGGTCATTGCGTACTGCCAATTTCACAGCCCATTCCTTACGTTAGGGCTGGGTTCTTTTATTTTCCTTTGTATCCCTACCCGCTTGATAGGAGTAATTTGCTAATTCCTTATTTTTATTTTTAATGGCCCAAAGTGTTCCCAAATCCATCTTCAAGTGGTAAATCAAAGGCAGAGCTACTGAGAATTTTCTCCTCATGTTAACCCTCCTCTCCCACCCAGTGTAACCTGAGCACATCAGGAACCAGCTCGGATTACCTTGAATGGCAGGGAGGGCTTCCACATAGGACTGGGGCCCCGTTCTCCCGTCAAGGTGTGAATCCACAAATTGGCAGTGGTCTTCCCCTCTTCCCCAGCTGTCTCCAATGCTGTAGAACGTATCTGCGTGAAGAAACAACAGGTCAGCTTCTAGGCGAAGAAGGGCAGCTGGCTGAGGCATGTCCACACACTTGAGGGACAGTTTCGGCTGGGCACGTACTTACTCTGGGTGCGGCACGCTTTTCTGGTATGAAAAATGGTGACAGCAGCACCAGCCTCATATATGTTCTAAGACTTCTGCAAGATCGTATATGCTAAACACTTAATTAATATCCAGCAAGTGGTAACTATTATTACAGGTAGTTTCAACTTATAAATGATAGACCTTTTATGCTTCAGTTTAAAAAAAAGAAATTAAGAACATTGTGATAAAGAATATTATTGAGTGATTGTGAAAGGCAGGAAGGTCTCCCTAAACAGAACCTATTTTCATGCGTGACTACACGAAGGTGTGTCTGTGGTGTCAGACGCTGTCCATGGTGCTGAACCACCTCAGTGCAGTAGGGCCAAGTTGCGTCCCAACCCCGGATACCAGGAAAGGCTGTGCTTCCCTCTCCCAGGAATTCTGAAGCACGGGAGGAAGAGAAGGGACAGGAAAGCGATAAACAGTGTTTGTGGGGATGGCCACGTACACAGAAGCCGCCAGCACAGGGCATGGGCAGGGAGGCTTGCTCTTTGACAAGCTTTCCTTAAATCATCACTCCTGGCAAGAAAGACACAAAGATCTTTTCCAAAATTATCAGTGACAAAATACAGAGCAGCGCAAGCCCAAAAGATGCATTTGCTAAAAGACTGAAAACTGTACAAGTTGAAAATAAAAAGCCAGCTTGTGCAGGTAGGTGAGTCAGAGCCAGTGGAACACAAATGGCATTTTGAAGTCCAGTGCACTCATGGAGTGTCTGCTTCAGTCCTGTACTTGAGGAAAATGATGCGATTTGCATTTGGACACAAAACACACAGCACTGTTGACCTACATGTCTCCATGTAAATATTTTTCCCTGTAGTTGTGGCAAATGGCAGGAGTTAAAGGGGAACTTTTCCTCAATTCCTTCCACTTATAGTCATACCTATTATTTATTGAATTAACTTCAAAGAAGACAGATGTTTAAATTTCTAGAAGAACGCTGGATTTCATTCCTAAAATGCAGTGCATTTAAACATATATACATATTGTTGGGTGCCAATGTAAAAATTAGTTACCCCAAAGTAGAGGACATGCGGCTGATTTGCATCTGAGCCGCATGAGCCACAATAGGTCTGGGCCCCATATGCATTCTGATGCACCTGCAGCATCCAGTCAACATCCGAGAAAATGAAAAACGCCCACACTGGGCCGGCGCCGCAGCTCACTAGGCTAATCCTCCGCCTGTGGCGCCGGCACACCGGGTTCTAGTCCCGGTCGGGGTGCCGGATTCTGTCCCAGTTGCTGCTCTTCCAGGCCAGCTCTCTGCTGTGGCCAGGGAGTGCAGTGGAGGATGGCCCAAGTGCTTGGGCCCTGCACCCCATGGGAGACCAGGAGAAGCACCTGGCTCCTGCCATCGGATCAGCGCGGTGCGCCGGCCGCAGCGGCCATTGGAGAGTGAACCAACGGCAAAGGAAGACCTTTCTCTCTCTCTCTCTCTCTCACTGTCTACCCTGCCTGTCAAAAAACAAAACAAAACAAAAAAACGCCCACACACCCCCTCCCCAGTCATCCCCAACAACCTACCTTTCAGGTTGTCACTGAGGTAGATCTTATACCTCAGGGAATTACAAAGAACGACTCCCACGAACTTCCTATACCAGGTCCGCTTCACGTATTGCCGCCCCTGGCAGTCTGTGTAGCTGGGGTCGTGTTTGAAAGCAAATGGTATCCAGATGGGCTCGCCACCTTGACAGCACAAAAGACACGCGCTGAGCCTGTGCCCTCCACAGAGAGCATGCACCACGCCTCTCCCTCCTCCCGGGGCCGTCCTGAGCCTGTGCCCTCCACAGAGAGCACGCACCACGCCTCTCCCTCCTCCTGGGGCCGTTCTGAGCCTGTGCCCTCCACAGAGAGCACGCACCACGCCTCTCCCTCCTCCCTGGGCCGTTCTGAGCAGGTTTTCTGCCTCGCCAATGAGCACCTCCTTCCATCCCCGTCTGTTTTTTAGTACTGAAGTACAACTGGGGATTCCTGTTCAGCTACACGTGCTCCAATAAGGGGTTTTCAGGTTTAGGGAAAGTGCACCTCAAGGCCATAAGCTGCACTGGAAGACCTGACTTTGGGGTGCATCACCCCAAGCCCCTCAGCAGAGACTCCCCATCCCTCTTGCCATGCATAAGGCCTGTCTTGAACTTCAATATCAGGGCTTTCTAAGTTTGTGTGAAAAACGAAGTAAAACTTCATGGTACATGGAGCATTTTGTCATTTGCCCAGCAATTTAAAGTATTCGTAGGGTTATGTGAATAACTTATTTAATAGATATTGGCTACTCCCTTCTAGTTTTCAGAGATACTGACTACTATGGCTCCATTAAAAAATTCCCACTCCTGGGGCAGGTGTTTGGTATAGTGGTTAAGCCACCACCGTCACCCATACCCCATGCCAGTGTGCTTGTGTTCAAGTCCTCACTCCATTCTCCATTCCAGCTTCCTGCTAACGCACACCCCCGGGAGGCAGCAGGCGATGGCTCTAGTCGTTAGGGCCCTGCCACCCACCTGGATGGAGTTCTCGGCCCCCAGCTCTGGCCCAGCCTAGCCCTGGCTGTGGCAAGCATCTGGGGAGTGCACTAGTGGACACGAGATCTCTCCCTGTCTCTCTGCCTTCCAAAACAAATAAATAAAATTTTTAAAAATTGCCATCCCCAGCTTCACTCCTGCCTCCAGCTCCCTGCTGATGCAGCCCTGGGAGGCAGCAGCGATGGCTTCAGTGGTTGGGTCCCTGCCATACGCGTGGGGAACCCGGACTGAGTTCCCAGCTCCCAGCTCCGGCCCAGGACAACCCTGGCCCTTGCAGGCATTTGGGGAGGAACCAGGGAATGAGAGCACCTACTCTCATTATCTCTCAAATAAACCAACGAATAAAAACGTTTAAGTTCCCTGGACAGTCTTTTCCAAAGCTCTGGCTGAATGGTGCCAACAAACCGGAGGACTCCTCAGAAAACAGAGAACTCACAAGTGGTGCAGCACTTCTACTCGCGAGTGACCACAGCGGCCGCATGTGCAACACTGAACCCGATGGCCAGAGGCTCAAGGTCATCAGGGGCAGAAACTTACCTGGGGGCCTCACGACGAGCAGGGGGTTGTCTGCAGAACGAAAAAGAAGTAACTGAGCTCCGCCTCCTCTCACAGGCAAGCACAGTCGGGATGCTCACTGTGACTGATCAAGAAGGCTCATTCGAGAGACACCAGTGTCTCTCCTTCGTTTTTATCTCCCAAGCATTTCCTTTTTGGAAAAAGTCTTTTCTAGTTACATTGTGCTTTTATTTACATAGAAACTGTAGATCCCTGAAAGTCCTGTTTTGATACTGGGTGCTATAAAATAATTCAATACTCATTTAAAAAGAAAAACTCTCTTTGGAAAACCGCTTGGCAGTTTCTCAAGAGGAGAAGCCTACACGTGCTATTTGATCCATCCATTCCCCATTCCCCTTTTACTTATTTATCCAAAAGTAGAAACATATGTCTGTACAAATACCTACACATAAATGTTTATAGCATCGTGGTTTGTAGTAGACAAAAAGCAGAATCCATCCAGGTGTCTGTGGACAGGTGACTGGGCTGGCACAGCCACACAATGAGACAGTCCAGGTATCTATGGACAGGTGACTGGGCTGGCACAGCCATACAATGAGACAGTCCAGGTGTCTGTGGACAGGTGACTGGGTTGGCACAGCCATACAATGAGACAGTCCATGTGTCTATGGACAGGTGACTGGGCTGGCACGACCACACAATGAGACAGTCCAGGTATCTATGGACAGGTGATGGAGCTGGCACAGCCACACAATGAGACAGTCCAGGTGTCTATGGACAGGTGATTGGGCTGGCACAGCCATACAATGAGACAGTCCAGGTGTCTGTGGACAGGTGATGGGGCTGGCACAGGCATACAATAGACAGTCCAGGTGTCTGTGGACAGGTGACTGGGCTGGCACAGCCATACAATAGACAGTCCAGGTGTTTATGGACAGGTGATGGAGCTGGCACAGCCACAAAATGAGACAGTCCAGGTGTCTGTGGACAGGTGACTGGGCTGGCACGGCCACACAATGAGACAGTCCAGGTGTCTGTGGACAGGTGACTGGGCTGGCACGGCCATACAATAGACAGTCCAGGTGTCTATGGACAGGTGACTGGGCTGGCACAGGCATACAATAGACAGTCCAGGTGTCTGTGGACAGGTGATTGGGCTGGCACAGCCATACAACAGACAGTCCAGGTGTCTGTGGACAGGTGACTGGGCTGGCACAGGCATACAATAGACAGTCCAGGTGTCTATGGACAGGTGACTGGGCTGGCACGGCCACACAATGAGACAGTCCAGGTGTCTGTGGACAGGTGACTGGGCTGGCACAGCCACACAATGAGACAGTCCAGGTGTCTGTGGACAGGTGACTGGGCTGGCACAGCCACACAATGAGACAGTCCAGGTGTCTGTGGACAGGTGACTGGGCTGGCACAGCCACACAATGAGACAGTCCACGTATCTATGGACAGGTGACTGGGCTGGCACAGCCATACAATGAGACAGTCCATGTGTCTATGGACAGGTGACTGGGCTGGCACAGCCACACAATGAGACAGTCCATGTGTCTATGGACAGGTGACTGGGCTGGCACGACCACACAATGAGACAGTCCAGGTATCTATGGACAGGTGATGGAGCTGGCACAGCCACAAAATGAGACAGTCCAGGTGTCTATGGACAGGTGATTGGGCTGGCACAGCCATACAATGAGACAGTCCAGGTGTCTGTGGACAGGTGACTGGGCTGGCACAGCCATACAACAGACAGTCCAGGTGTCTATGGACAGGTGACTGGGCTGGCACGGCCACACAATGAGACAGTCCAGGTGTCTGTGGACAGGTGACTGGGCTGGCACAGCCACACAATGAGACAGTCCAGGTGTCTGTGGACAGGTGACTGGTTTGGCACAGCCACACAATGAGACAGTCCAGGTGCCTGTGGACAGGTGACTGGGCTGGCACAGCCACACAATGAGACAGTCCAGGTGTCTGTGGACAGGTGACTGGGCTGGCACAGCCACAGAATGAGACAGTCCAGGTATCTATGGACAGGTGACTGGGCTGGCACAGCCATACAATAAGACAGTCCAGGTGTCTGTGGACAGGTGACTGGGCTGGCACAGCCATACAATGAGACAGTCCATGTGTCTATGGACAGGTGACTGGGCTGGCACGACCACACAATGAGACAGTCCAGGTATCTATGGACAGGTGATGGAGCTGGCACAGCCACACAATGAGACAGTCCAGGTGTCTATGGACAGGTGATTGGGCTGGCACAGCCATACAATGAGACAGTCCAGGTGTCTGTGGACAGGTGATTGGGCTGGCACAGCCATACAACAGACAGTCCAGGTGTCTATGGACAGGTGACTCGGCTGGCACGGCCACACAATGAGACAGTCCAGGTGTCTATGGACAGGTGACTGGGCTGGCACGGCCACAAAATGAGACATTCCAGGTGTCTATGGACAGGTGATTGGGCTGGCACAGCCATACAATGAGACAGTCCAGGTGTCTGTGGACAGGTGATTGGGCTGGCACAGCCATACAACAGACAGTCCAGGTGTCTATGGACAGGTGACTGGGCTGGCACGGCCACACAATGAGACAGTCCAGGTATCTATGGACAGGTGACTGGGCTGGCACAGGCATACAATAGACAGTCCAGGTGTCTGTGGACAGGTGACTGGGCTGGCACGGGCACACAATGAGACAGTCCAGGTGTCTATGGACAGGTGACTGGGCTGGCACAGCCATACAATAGACAGTCCAGGTGTTTATGGACAGGTGATGGAGCTGGCACGGCCACAGAATGAGACAGTCCAGGTGTCTGTGGACAGGTGACTGGGCTGGCACGGGCACACAATGAGACAGTCCAGGTGTCTGTGGACAGGTGACTGGGCTGGCACAGCCATACAACAGACAGTCCAGGTGTCTATGGACAGGTGACTGGGCTGGCACGGCCACACAATGAGACAGTCCAGGTGTCTATGGACAGGTGACTGGGCTGGCACGGCCACGCAATGAGACAGTCCAGGTATCTATGGATTGGTGACTGGGCTGGCACGGCCACACAATGAGACAGTCCAGGTGTCTGTGGACAGGTGACTGGGCTGGCACGACCACACAATGAGACAGTCCAGGTATCTATGGACAGGTGATGGGGCTGGCACGGCCACACAATGAGACAGTCCAGGTGTCTGTGGACAGGTGACTGGGCTGGCACGGCCACACAATGAGACAGTCCAGGTGTCTGTGGACAGGTGACTGGGCTGGCACAGCCACACAATGAGACAGTCCAGGTGTCTATGGACAGGTGACTGGGCTGGTACAGGCATACAATAGACAGTCCATGTGTCTATGGACAGGTGACTGGGCTGGCACGGCCACACAATGAGACAGTCCAGGTATCTGTGGACAGGTGACTGGGCTGGCACAGCCACAAAATGAAAAAGTCCAGGTGTCTATGGACAGGTGACTGGGCTGGCACAACCACACAACGAGACAGTGCAGGTGTCTGTGGACAGGTGACTGGGCTGGCACGGCCACACAATGAGACAGTCCAGGTATCTATGGACAGGTGATGGGGCTGGCACAGCCACACAATGAGACAGTCCAGGTGTCTATGGACAGGTGATGGGGCTGGCATAGCCACACAATGAGACAGTCCAGGTGTCTGTGGACAGGTGACTGGGCTGGCACGGCCACACCATGAGACAGTCCTCAGTCCTGAACCACTGGTCAACACAACAGTATTGATAAATCTCAAGGTGATGGTGCTGGAAGCCAGACGCCAGGCAGAGGCTCACGCCCTACGACGTCCTCTTACACAAAGTTCTACAAGTTCTGTTGCCTATCGAGACAGAAAGCAGATGGCGGCTGCCTTCAAATAGAAGGGAGGAGGCATGTGAAACCCCTTCGAGGTCATCTGCCTGTACTTCCAGTTTTAAGCATCTTCTTGCAAAAGATTTTACTTTTTCCACATAGTTGGTTCGGCAGACCTTAAATTATTCCATCTGAAAATATTTTCCAAAGACAAGTTTGCTGGTATCAGTGACTGTGTAGGAAATATCTAAGCAGATGGAAGCCAGAGTGGTGGGTGCAGGGCTGGCTCTGCTGGTCTGACCTGAACTCCCGAGGGCTTCCCACATGGAAACGTGGCTGACCCAAGAGTGGTCACAGTGGGCCAGCCCTCGCACGCGGCCCCAGACCCCGGGTCACAGGGACGTTGTGCTGAAGGGCCTGGGAGCTCAGCCTGCCTGCATCCCGAAATGCAGTGAGATGCTGTCAGAGAGAGCGTCTGTGAGATGGAATAACCTTCCCATTGAACTCTGCTCTCTGGCTCCTGGCAAAGAGCATATCGGAGACGTGGCTAACTGAAGAAGCCGCCTGTCGTCCACACGAGGTATGCGACCTTGAGCTCAAAGAGCTCTGCAGGTAGCTGTGGGCCAGGCACACCCGAACTAGTCTTTTCCTTGGGGTTGGAAACCGGGTTTTCCTTTCATTGGAATTCAACCTTTCTCGCCCCCAAAGGGCCAGGGAACACTGCTTTAAATTGTATCATCCCAGGTTTAGCCTAGCAGGAAGAAAATAACACTTACCTTATGAGAAGATACAAAATATGAGCTTTTTACATACAAAAGTAAGGGTTCTGCTGCTTTAATTTGTACATTATTGTCATTATTCTGGAAAATTCATTTAATTTCCAACAAAAGCAGAGCAGACAAGACCGGGAAGACGCCCGTACCTGATTCTGTAACAAAGGAGACTGAGGGGCTGATGGGTCCGTAGCCGTGCGGGTTTTTGGCTTGAACTTTAAAATAATACCTGAAATTAGGAGAAAGCGGCTTTTGAAAGAGCGATTCATTTGATTCTGTGTAATGGCACAGACTCCCAAACAACTGAATATCTACTCACAGCAGCCTTTTAGTCTTAGTTTGTATAAACGCACACACCACAAGCTGCTTCAGGTTTATTCTGAATATTCTCCTTTTTAATAACTTTTCTAAATTATAAGAAGGTACTTCAAATAGTTCATGGAAAGATGAATGAAAAGATACATTCATTCTGGTGCCCCTTCCCCAAACTGAACCCACCTGTTGTTTTCTCATTATATGCCTTTCCACAAACTTTCTATGCAGACTGCTAGTTCACTCCCCACGTGCCTGCAATGGCCAGCGCTGGGCTGGGCTGAAGCTGGGAGCTGGGAACAGAATCCAGTCTCCCATGTTGGTATCAGGAACCCAGCTACTGGAGCCATCACCACTGCCTCCAGTGTTTGCATCAGCAAGAAGCTGCAATCAGGAGCCTGAGCCGGGCTTGACCAGGCACGCTGAGGGGGCACACGGGCATCCTAACTGGTGCTTTAACCACTAGATTGAAGTCCACCCTTCTTTCTTTCTTTTATTTTTAATTTTTTGTTTGAGAGGCACAGAGAGAGAAAGACAGAAACAGTGAGACTGATATCTTTCTGTGAACTTTTGGAAGACCCCGGGCATGCATGGATTTCAAAATTCTTTGCACCAAAATAAAACTTACCTTTTAATTCCATTTCTCACAAACTTTTTATTACTATACTATTTTGTTATTCTATTATTGTTTCTCTGTAATTACCATAGTGGAGACACACAGCTAGTGGGAAGAGAAGGGGCGTACGAATGAAGCGAGAGGTTACTCAGGCAGCACGCCCTCCTCATAGCTGCGTGCAGGACTGTGCAGGCTCCCAGGGGCCTGCCCTGGGCTGCTGCCTGCTGATGCTGCTCTGGTCGCAATCTGAGCGCCACAGCCTATCACTGAGGCCAGGGGGAAACGCAGGAGGCTGATTCAATGGCGATGCAATGTGTGGTTGGCGGGCAGCAGGTGCAGCAGGCCAGAGGTTGGCCTCCTCCGCGGAACTAATGCGACAAGGATGTTGTGGCCACAGGAGGAGCCTGTTGTTGGCTCTGGGCTGGGAATGGACAGCCCCGCAGGTCACTGAGTCAGGAGCTCCCGTACCGCCAGGACAACGCGAGTGCAGAAAGGGGACGTGGAAATGCCTGGAGCGACAGCCCTTGCTCAGGGCTGCACTGCGTCTTGGAAGAGAGAACGTGCCAGACACACACGGAGTCAGCTGGCTCATGTGGAGGGAGCCGCGTACCGTGCACTCTTACATGAGCTAACAGACAAAAAGTGGTGCTTAGGAAAATGCTGGAGACCAACACCACGCCGAGAGCCCTGCCGCGATTCTCAGTGAGACAGCACGTAGCACACGAGCTGCCCTGGTCTCAGCTGCTCACAGCGGAAGAGGGATGAAGGCAGCCCAGGGGTGGCGGCGCTGGGCCACTGTGGAGAGCACAGTTTTCTGGCCAGAAAGAATGTCACACAAATACCACAGAACCCGCAGTGGGCACTACACCGGCCGTTCGGATGCTGCTTAAGACGCGCATGTCCCGCACTGGACTGCCTGGGTTGGATCCAGCTTCCTGCTAATGCACACACCTAGAGACAGTAGTGATGGCTCAAGCGACTGGGCTCCTGCCGCCCACATGGGAGGCCCGGACTGAGTTCCTGGCTCCTGGCTTTGTTGTGGGCATTTGGAGAGTGAACCAGCAGATGGAAACTCACTCTGTGTGTACGTGCGTGTGTATGTGTGTGTGTGCGTGTGTGTCCGTGTCTTGTTTCTCAAAATAAAAAAATTAGTATGACCGTATTCTTTATACAATTAAGTCAGGCCTGGCGATTATGTAGTAGTTCAAATGTACTAAGTGTAACAGGATGAATTATCTACAGAGAGTGAAGGGTTATATGACTTGTTACATCAACTGCCTGGCGCCAAGTGGTTGAGCAATTGGGATGGTCAAGGCAGGGCCTGGCCTCACAGGCACAGAGGTATTTTACTTGGGTTTGATTAAACAGAAAAACCGAAAAAATGGTTTGCAAAATTAGTCTTCTTAAGTCATTCACTTCTCATTTAAGAGTATTCTTTTTCAAATTTAATTTAAAAAAAAAGATATGCACAATTAAAAACACATGAGTTCCCCAACCTCAGTTCACTCTGCAGTGGGTGTTTTCCCAGTTGTGCATACTTTTATTCAGTGGTTGTAGAATTATTTAAGGAAAAACTCTGCAGGCAGCTCAAGCAGTGGGTTTGGCATACATCAGCGACCCTGCTCAAATTTTCCTTAAGGAACGACACTTCTGTTCAGAGACTAAGGGACATTTCTGCTAAATAGCTCCTTAACCCATTGCTGGACTCCCTCTGCAGAGGGAGGCTCATGCGCGCCAATGAGGCGGTGCTAAGAGGGTGAGCGCCTGGCTGAGACCCACCGCTCAGACAAACTTGGTTTTGCAGCGAGATTGTTTTTCCCACTGCAATCTACCTTCCCGCGGACAGGATTCTCACGCGCTAGCGCCAACCCCGAGGCCAAGGAGAGGTTCTCAGAGTTCACAGGAAACTCCATTAGAAGATACACACAAGTTGGCAAAAAGAATTTTGAAATCCATGCATACCAGAATCCTTCCAAAAGCTCATGAAAATACACATTATGGAAAAAATTATGCACAGAGTTCAAAAATGTTTTGCATTCAAATGAACGCATCTTTTAATTCCATTTTTCCACGAACTTTCTGTGGCTTCCTTGTTTCCCATTTGTTTCACCTAATATGTGAAAGTAAATCTGAGTGTGCTGCACAGAAAAACAGCTGGCGTTACGAGAAAAGTGAAATTCCCATCTTCAAAACCACAGGAAACTTTCCTGTGGACTAAAATATGTGCTTCATATCTGAGTAGCCGCTGCCTCACCCGTCACAAGAGCAGGCAGACCTGGCCTCCTACATAAGCTTCTGGCGCTTTCTTTTGGACATCTCGAAAGTGACAAGTCTCTGTCCTTATGGACGTAAAGTACGCAGACTCCACAGCGGGATGGGGCTCCCTGGAGGGAATAAGGTCAATAATCTCACGTAAAGTGAAAACCAAGACCCAGTTATTAGGAGCCAAAGCTGCCTTTTGTGCCTGCCTCCTCCGTGAGTGGCTGACTCCCTGTGTCTCCTCCACTGGCTGGGGCTGGTCCCCCAAAGAGGCCCCAGGGAGTGGGGAGGGGGACCTCATGGAATGAGCCCCTCGATGCAGGAGACAAACAACCGTTCTTGTGTCACACCTGTATTCTCCTAGCTGTGAACACAGCCGCTGTTCCGAGAGTTTTGGGGAACTTGGTGTAGGAGCCACACAGGCTGTGTGCAGCCACTCCAGGATGTCCCAGGGGACCCAAGCCCTACCCCCACGGCCACCACCACCTGCACTGTGGGTGCAGCTTCCTCTCCCGCAGCCCTCACTGAGCCGCCCCCTTTGGTTCCTAGAACCAGTCTTTGGGCCATGCTCTCTGGCTGCAGCAAGGCTGCCCCACTCCATTGCACTCACGTTTTCCCCAGGTGACCACCTGTGTGTGAGATCAGGCTTCCGCAGGGAGGCTGACCCGACTGCCCCTCTACCCCTAAGCACAGTGTCCCCTCATGACACGAGCAGAAGCAGTCACATTTGTGTTGCTGAAAGACAACCTGCGTCCTCTAACAGACTGCAAGCTCCAAGAGGGTCATGCATGTCCCCCCCAACCCCCGGTCCCCCAGATTATACCCCCGATGCACAGTGGGAGGGGAGCCCACCCAAACTGAATGCTAACCACATCACAGGACAGGCACCTGTTGAATAAGCTGCCGTCCTGCATAACCACCTCCTGACATTATTGCAAAGTCTGCAACCATCAGGCCCAGCAAAAGCGTGACCAGGACTTCTGACTGGAGGCACATGGCAGGGAGCAGTCAGGAGACTGGGATGCCAAGTCTGTTGCAAGCAGCCATGTGGGAAAACATCTGGAAGGCGTCGTCCAGCTTTCCAATCCTGTGGCTGGGCTATAAACGTACTGTCACTCTGCACACAATAAAAAAATGATGCTGACCTCGCTTGCTCTAATTTTGTTTGCTCTGGTTAATTGTTTTTCATGCTTTCTCAGTGTCCTGCTTCACTACTTTGTCTTTTTATTTGCCAAATCCTGAAACTGGTAATAGTTTGTAAAAGCTCAGTTCAAATAAGCCCGGATGGCGCATTCAAGCGTTCTGAGCAAACTCCCAGCGGGCTCCCGAGTCGCTGGGTGCCTGTGGCCGCCGTCCAGTTCTATTTCTGCAGAGTCCATGTAGGCAGAGTGCTCTGTTCCAACTCTGTGATCCTCTGACAGCACAGAAGATGAGAGCCCTTAAGCCCACCCCCCAGGCCCATGAGCTCTTTGCTGAGTAAACAAAGGCCAAGGCAAGCCTGTGCTGGAGCCTGGGGGCCCATCGCTTCCATGCAGGAATTCTGCAAGCCCACGGGGATTCTGAAATTGGCCAGGGTAGAAGGATTTATAAAACAGAAACTGGGAAATGCATGAACCAGGGTTTCCTCCCAGAGATCCAGCTTAGCTGTGCATCTCTGCTTGACCAGCCCATGCCTGGTGCCTTGCCCGTGTCCCCCGGCCAGGGGAGCTTTCTGATGGTCATTAGCATCAGAACCAGACAGTGTAAACCAGGACGCACAGTCGCTCCCTGTGCAGCCCCTGGGATCCAGTTTTTCCCATTTCATGCTGAGGGCTATGAACTCTGCCTTCCAGAATGGTGCACTGACCAGCCACTGTCCAGTTCACGCGAACAGGCTTGCAACTTCATCAGTGTGCAGAATGCCTCTTTCTTGACTGGTCTTCCGTATCAGTCAAGTAAGCTGCTTAGCAACTGCTACTCCATTAATGTCACATAACAGGGCTGTGCCGCCTAATGCCGCCACACTGGTGACGACAAGTGGATAAATCCCTTTTCAACACACAGAGCAACCCTTCATTCCTAAATGGTACAAGTAGTGTTTAAGAAAACATGGAGTAGGCCGGCGCCGCGGCTCACTAGGCTAATCCTCTGCCTTGCGGCGCCGGCACACCGGGTTCTAGTCCCGGTTGCCCCTCTTCTAGGCCAGCTCTCTGCTGTGGCCCGGGAAGGCAGTGGAGGATGGCCCAAGTGCTTGGGCCCTGCACCCCACGGGAGACCAGGAGAAGCACCTGGCTCCTGCCTGCGGATCAGCGCGGTGCACCGGCCGTGGCGGCCATTGGAGGGTGAACCAACAGCAAAGGAAGACCTTTCTCTCTGTCTCTCTCTCACTGTCCACTCTGCCTGTCAAATAAATAAATAAATAAATAAATAAATAAAAGGAAAACATGGAGTAAAATATAAACACTGTAACCTAAAAATTACAACATAGTTAGTCGTCGTGTTACCTGAGAATATATGACACTTGGTCAGCATTCATTGACATTCGATGAGAACTAAAAAGAGAATTTAAATTCTAAAAACGTTTTTTCTTCATTCTTTCCCTTTCAACTGAAGGATATCTGTGCCTATGCAGGCAGCTCTCTTGTCTTGGACTGACTGAGACCTCCTCATCTCTTGTCTTGGACTGACTGAGACCTCGTACCTTGTGTTTGGCTTCAGGTTCTCAATGGGCAAATGAGTCACAGAGGATGCCTGTGTGGACCACTTGTTCCTGATGAAGTCCTCATAGGATGCACTGTAGACCAAGTAACCTGGGATGGAAACAGAGAAGCCAGTGAGTGGGCCAGCGCTGTGGCATAGTGGATAAAGCTGCCACCTGCAACGCTGGCATCCAGTATGGGTGCTGACTCAAGTCCTGGCTGATCCACTTCTGATTCAGCTCCCTGCTAATGGCCTGGGACAAGCAGCAGAGGATGGCCCAAGTACTTGGGCCCCTGCACCCATGTGGGAGACCTGGCTGAAGTTCCTAGCTCCTGGCTTCAGGCTGGCCCAGCCCCTGCCATTGCGGCCATCTGGAGAGTGAAACAGAAGGTGGAAGATCTCTCTGTAACTCTTTCAAATAAATAAATAAATCTTAAAAAAATGAACGAACACAATGAGTACCAAGGGACCAAGTCAGATACACAGAGCAGCCCCGTGAGAGGACGGGCTGAGGCTGGGCCGTCCACCTGACCCTGGGTGGACTCCAAAGACAGCGAGTGGCAGGATGGCACACAGCCCTGGCACCTCTTTGATTGTGGTGGAATCAGAAGGCCATGACAAGATGGCCACTGGCAACAGAAACTGCCTGGCAACAGGCTGTGATTGGATGCCTTTAGAAACTGCCTGGTAACAGGCTGTGATTGGTTAGGGCATAGACCGCCCCTTGACCGGATTGGCTGGTCTCGACTATATAAGCTGCTGTAGCAACTGAAATAAACGAGTCTGCGGGCTGCTCGCCTCTGGCCTGCTTTCACCTGGCTCCTGGGGTCTGTGTGGTGACCCCACGTCTCTTGCCCCCACCGCGCTCCTCCTCTCAGAACGAATCCACCTCAACATTTGATGACAGAGATGGACACATGAGTGAGATGCTTGCTAATGACTTGCTGACTCCCTGCTTGCTTCCTTCTCTGCTCCCTCTCACTCCCTCGGCTTCCTCGTGTCTTCAGAACCAATCACGGTCACCTTGACTGCACAGAGAAAAAGGAAGCAGACGAGAACACCAGCAGCTTCCTCGCAAGATGTACACCGCTGTCCCTCCTTTGAAGGGAGGAGCACCGACAGCAAATACTGTGCCTGTGCATGAGACTGAAGACCCCCGGTTCACAGAGACCCTCGCCCTCCAGCGAAGGCTCCTGCCTGCCCTTGAGGCCACCTTCTGATGTCAGCACTCAGGCAGCCCGTCCCCCTGATGTCCAGTCTCTCTTATCTGCTGGGAACAGCCTTCCCCAGGTGGGGCCGCAGCTCCTACACCTGCCGAGCCCCAAGGCTGCTCCAGGAGGCAAAGTGAAGTTCAAAGTGACAGCGCAGGGCATCTCTTGCATCCCTAATACTCGGTCTCTTATGAGGACAAAAGGAAGAACATATCTTTCAAGCACTTCCTACACGTCAGGCATCACGCTAAATAAACACTTTTGATTGTTTTACTTGGATTGATGTTCATGAACCTTGTATGTAGGTGTTGCTATCCCTATTTTGATATGAGAGGAAACAGCTTTAGAGACAGGTTAAATATCTAAGGTCTAACACCCATTGAGTGTTTATGGCAAGACTACTGTTTGTCGGATACTACACTGAGTGCTGGAGGTGGAACTCAAGTAGTTGGATGTTCACACCTGGAATTCCACAGCCATGACCAGTGCTTCCAGGAGGTGTGTGGGGAGCCGAGCTATTGTGGGAGACATGAAGAGCTTCCTGGGAGACACACAAATGGGGCTGATATCTGAAGGATGAGAAGCAATTAAGGTGTGTGGCAGGAGTGGGGAGGATACCAGGGAGAGGGACACCTGGGCCAAGATGCTAGGGGGAGGCAGTGTGGCTGGAACGGGGGATGGCATGAGATGAGGCCTAAGGAGCAGAAAGCAGAAAAACCATGCAGTGCCCAGGCTGGCTTGGAAACAGACAGCACCAAGAGGCAGGGGACAGGCAGAGTCCCAATCCCAGGGCTGACTCGGACACAGGGTGATGCACGGCCGGCAACTCTTCATCACCCTCCCTGCCATCTGACCTTACGAGTGGCTACCTCTGTCCATTGTCACTTGCAGGATTCTACATAGACTGCTGGGGAGACGGGAGACCAAGGCCCGCAGAGATAGAGCAGCCCAAGGTCAGGCAAACCAAGTAGGTACCAGGTCTCAGGAATTCCAACTTCCATCCAGTTCTCTTTACACTCCCCCACCAGGCTTCTCCTGCTGCCTACATTTCATTCTGTTGGAAGGAAGCATCTGTATCCTTCATTCATCCCATCTATTGATCCATGTACACAACCATCTACTTATCCACCCATCCACCCCATATACATCCTCCCGTGTGTACACCCACCTACCCATCCATCCATCCATCCATGTACACAACCATCTACTCATCAACCCCTGTATACACCTACCCATGTATACACCTACTTACCCACCCATCCATCCATGTATGCATCCATCCACTCATCCATCCATCCATGTACACAACCATCTACTCATCCACCCATCCACCCCATATACATCCTCCCGTGTGTACACCCACCTACCCATCCATCCAACCCATCCATCCATGTACACAACATCTACTCATCTATCCATGTACACAACCATCTACTCATCCATCACTGAGTACACCCACCCATGCATACATACATCCATGTATACATTCATCTACTCGTCCATCCATCCAAGCCATTTATCATCCATACCTGCATCCACTCATGAATCCAGTCATCCACCTGTGTATATATCCATTCACTCACCCATGTATACACCATCCATTCATCCCCCCATGCACACATCTATCCACTCACCCATGTAGACAACCATGCATTCATCCCCCCATGTACACATCTATCCACTCACCCATGTAGACAGCCATCCATTCATCCCCCCATGCACACATCTATCCACTCACCCATGTAGACAACCATGCATTCATCCCCCCATGTACACATCTATCTACTCACCCATGTAGACAACCATCCATTCATCCCCCCATGCACACATCTATCCACTCACCCATGTATACACCATCCATTCATCCCCCCATGCACACATCTATCCACTCACCCATGTAGACAGCCATCTATTCATTCCCCCATGTACACATCTATCTACTCACCCATGCAGACAGCCATCCATTCATCCCCCCATGTACACATCTATCTACTCACCCATGTAGACAACCATCCATTCATCCCCCCATGTACACATCTATCCACTTACCCATGTAGACAACCATCCATTCATCCCCCATGTACACATCTATCCACTCACCCATGTATACAACTGTCCATTCATCCCCCATGTACACATCTATCCACTCACCCATGTAGACAACCATCCATTCATCCCCCATGCACACATCTATCCACTCACCCATGTAGACAGCCATCCATTCATCCCCCCATGTACACATCTATCCACTTACCCATGTAGACAACCATCCATTCATCCCCCATGTACACATCTATCCACTCACCCATGTATACAACTGTCCATTCATCCCCCATGTACACATCTATCCACTCACCCATGTAGACAACCATCCATTCATCCCCCATGCACACATCTATCCACTCACCCATGTAGACAGCCATCCATTCATCCCCCCCATGCACACATCTATCCACTCACCCATGTAGACAGCCATCCATTCATCCCCCATGCACACATCTATCCACTCACCCATGTATACAACCATGCATTCATCCCCCATGTACACATCTATCCACTCACCCATGTAGACAACCATCCATTCATCCCCCATGCACACATCTATCCACTCACCCATGTATACACCATCCATTCATCCCCCATGTACACATCTATCCACTCACCCATGTAGACAGCCATCCATTCATCCCCCCATGTACACATCTATCCACTCACCCATGTAGACAACCATCCATTCATCCCCCCCATGCACACATCTATCCACTCACCCATGTATACACCATCCATTCATCCCCCATGCACACATCTATCCACTCACCCATGTATACAACCATCCATTCATCCCCCCATGCACACATCTATCTACTCACCCATGTAGACAACCATCCATTCATCCCCCATGCACACATCTATCCACTCACCCATGTATACACCATCCATTCATCCCCCCATGCACACATCTATCCACTCACCCATGTATACACCATCCATTCATCCCCCATGTACACATCTATCCACTCACCCATGCAGACAGCCATCCATTCATCCCCCCATGTACACATCTATCCACTCACCCATGCAGACAACCATCCATTCATCCCCCATGTACACATCTATCCACTCACCCATGTAGACAACCATCCATTCATCCCCCATGTACACATCTATCCACTCACCCATGTAGACAACCATCCATTCATCCCCCCATGCACACATCTATCCACTCACCCATGTAGACAACCATCCATTCATCCCCCATGTACACATCTATCCACTCACCCATGTAGACAACCATCCATTCATCCCCCATGTACACATCTATCCACTCACCCATGTAGACAACCATCCATTCATCCCCCATGTACACATCTATCCACTCACCCATGTAGACAACCATCCATTCATCCCCCATGTACACATCTATCCACTCACCCATGCAGACAACCATGCATTCATCCCCCATGTACACATCTATCCACTCACCCATGTATACACCATCCATTCATCCCCCATGTACACATCTATCCACTCACCCATGTAGACAGCCATCCATTCATCCCCCATGCACACATCTATCCACTCACCCATGTAGACAACCATCCATTCATCCCCCCATGCACACATCTATCTACTCACCCATGTAGACAACCATCCATTCATCCCCCATGCACACATCTATCCACTCACCCATGTATACACCATCCATTCATCCCCCCATGCACACATCTATCCACTCACCCATGTATACACCATCCATTCATCCCCCATGTACACATCTATCCACTCACCCATGCAGACAGCCATCCATTCATCCCCCCATGTACACATCTATCCACTCACCCATGCAGACAACCATCCATTCATCCCCCATGTACACATCTATCCACTCACCCATGTAGACAACCATCCATTCATCCCCCATGTACACATCTATCCACTCACCCATGTAGACAACCATCCATTCATCCCCCCATGCACACATCTATCCACTCACCCATGTAGACAACCATCCATTCATCCCCCCACGTACACATCTATCCACTCACCCATGTACATCTATCCATACAGCCATTCCTCCATGTATGCATCCATCGACTCATCCATCCTTCTCTATTGTCTGTATTCCCCACCTACAGAACCATGGAACTCCGAGCATCATCCTGGAACACACCTGTTACCACATCTCCAGGGGAGGCTTTGTCCCAGTCCACAATGACAAACGAGTGACAGCCTTCCATGGCGACCACAGTGATGTTTCGGGGGACATGCTGAGGGGGCAGGTCATTCTTCTTCAGGTCATGTGGGATGATTTCATCCAGGCTTTCCACTTGGAAGTGATCCAGGGCATCTGTCAGAGAGCACGGTGCTGCTGGGTCTTTACTTAGGTACGTCACGTAAGGAGCTGGAAGAGAGCAGCGACAACCAGTTACATTGCTGACGACTTTCTCTGGAGGCAGAGACACAGAACCTGCTGCGTGAAGGCGGATCTGGTGCTCAACCCCTTCCAGTCACACAGACGCCCCGGGGCCATCAGCTGGTGTCAAGTCCCACAGCTCATGCCTGGCTCCTCCCAGAGGCTCCCTACATCACTGCTTTCAATCTGGGGATGGCAAGAGAGTCCCCTGCCCTACCAGCATGGCCAACTGTCCTCAAAGTGATTTGGAAATATCTCCAGACTGTAACCCAGCATAATATAAGCCCACAGCTTGTTGTTGCTATGCCCAAACACTTGGGAAAGCCTGAGTCAGGCCCACCCTACAGTTAATGAGCATGCTCTCAGTCCAGACCATCTCCTTGACTCTCTTGGAACCCGGACAAAATGCACACTGATAAGAATGGCCTCTAGCCTCAGCCCAAATGGGTTCCACTAGAATTTCACAACGTCCCACAACTCTATGAGGGATTTGTGTGTAAGGCCAGCCCCGGACAGCCAGGCAGGGTCACAAGAATTATCCAGATCCGAATGATTCTGTCATCAGTGCTCAGCCTAACAGCCCCGCTTACTGCTGGGCAGGCTGAAGCCTTTTCAGTACTGCTAGTCTTGGTGCAGACAAAGGACCTGGGCGCAGGCAGGATGGGGACCGATGCTCTCATTCCAGCCACGCCTGCTGGCACCGGGACTGCCCGCCCAGGGCTCATCCACCAGGGCACGCTGCCCCCAGCTCTCAGCTGTTTTCTCTTACATCCCACTCTTTAAGAAGTTAGAAATGCCCAAGAGGTGAGGCTGGGGCTTTACCCAAGCAAGACTCTCAAGGGCCCCTATGTGACAATGCCCAGAAGTTTCCAAAGAGCCCATGGCATCTTTCAGAGCCATGTTCTCACTCTCTGAATGCAATTTTAGCTCCTCCATTTTCCAATAATTCATATAAAATTAGGCCTTTAGGGCTTGTCCACACATATCATTAGGGAGTTTCGGGAGTACTCGACTATGCTTTGTAGAGCGATGGACAGTTGAGAACAGTCAGACAACAGTAAGCCTTTCTTTCGGTCTCTGAAGGGCGCTATGGAACATCTAAGAATAGTCCTGAATGCGTTTCAACTTCTATCACGGGGCTGTGGAGGGGAGAGTCGGAGCGCTGGGTACACTGCGAGGCGGCTGCACGGGCTGGGGCGGCACACGCCTCTGCCGCAGGAACGCCACCTCACATTGACATTCTGGTCCTTCAAAGCGTGGCTGGTTCAGACACTCGATCACTACATCTTTGGCTGGGCGAGAGCGGTTTCTGTCTGTGGCAGAACGTTTGTTTTGGAAACAGAAACGTGTGCTATTATTTAAGCTGTTGCTGGTCTCCACGTGGCAGTATTTAAATCCAGCTGTCTCATTAGCCAAGTTCATTAGGGGCACGGGAAAGGCAGGCTTACGGGGGGAACCAAGCACAGGTCAGTTACAAGGAACGTCCTAGGGAAAGTGTTTTCATTACTGAGGAAGAAGAATGAAAGGAACTCCTGGATCCCAAGTCCTGAGGTCCATGAAAATCACAGGAAATAACTGCAGAAAAACAGCTTTGGCTCTGCAACACCCCCGAGTGCTGGTGGCGCTCGCTGATGCCCTGGTTACCTTGAAGGAGAACCTAATGCGCAGACCAGGCTGTAGGGGAAGTTTCGTCTTGGAAACACGAGCCGTCCTGGCCCTCGAGGTTTGGGTGCCGCCTACCCTAAGGCCAATCTCCCCGCTGCTGGATGCCAGTCTCCTGGGCCCGCCCCCCTGCTGAGCTCTGCAGAGAGCAAACCCACACGCATCCAGGCCGGGCTGACTGCCCGCGTGACCCGCACTGGGGCCGCAGTCTGGGGAAACTCAGAACGCCTGCCCTGGCCAGGCCGAGAGATGCGTCACCGTCGGCGCCAGAGCCTGCGTTTCTCTGACTGGGGGGTCACAGCAAGGGTTTTTACCAACAAAGCGCTTCCTTCCGGCCAGGTCGAACTCCTCTTCGGGAAAGGAACGGATGGTGCCTTCCTCGGGGACCACCTGAGGTGTGGTAGCTGTGGTCGTGGGCTTCGTGGAGGCCGGTGGCCTCGAGGTTTCAAATACATAATCTGCAAGAGTACGAAGGCTCTGGAGTCAGGTGCTGCTGCGAGAGGGCACCGCCTGCAGTCAAATGCAGCCTCCTTAAGACGCAGGTGTAGACTGCACACTCACGGCCTAAAGCAAACACTGTCCCAGCAAGTAACTTTCTCTGCTAAAATAGCACGTCTCCCCACTTTAGTTCCCTCTGAAAGCAGCTAGAAAGAGAGAAAAAGAGAGAGAGAGAGAGAGAGAGAGAGAGAGAGAGGGAGAGAGGGAGAGAGGGAGAGAGAGAGGGAGGGAGGGAGGGAGGGAGGGAGGGAGAGAGAGAGAGAGAGAGAGAGAAACACAGATGACCAAAGACAAGGATTTAGGATCAGGGCTGGAGCACCCTAGAATTCACCCAGCAGAGCACGTGCCTATTACGGCTCCATGGCCATCTCTGCCTGCATCGCTTTCTCTTTTAGAATCATGAAAGATCCCATCAGAGAATAAATGTGAATTTTAAAAAAAAACAAACCTATCTTCTGTGTATGGCCTTTTTTTCGGTGGAGGTCAATGCTACTAAGAATCTTTTAGCACTGAAAAAGGCCACTCAGGGGCTAGCGCTGTGGTGCAGCAGGTTAAGCCACCGCATGCTACAGTAGATTCCATACCAGAGCGCCTGTTCGAGCCTCGGCTGCTCCACTTCTGACCCAGCTCCCTGCTAATGCTCCTGGGAAAGCCGCGGAAGATGGCCTAAGCATTGGCACACCGCACCCAGGTGGAGAGCCAGCGTTCCGGGCTCCTGGCCCAGCCCTTGGGCCGCCTTCCGCGCGTCCCCACCGCCCAGGAGCGTTAGCAGGGAGCCAGATCGGAAGCGCAGCAGCCGGGGCCGGCGCCGCAGCTCACTAGGCTAATCCTTGCGGTGCTGGCACTCCGGGTTCTACTCCTGGTCGGGGCACCGGATTCCGTCCCGGTTGCCCCCCTCCAGGCCAGCTCTCTGCTGTGGCCAGGGAGTGCAGTGGAGGATGGCCCAAGTGCTTGGGCCCTGCACTCCATGGGAGACCAGGAGAAGCACCTGGCTCCTGGCTTCGGATCGGCGTGGTGCGCTGGCCCGCGGCGGCCACTGGAGGGTGAACCAACGGCAAAGGAAGACCTTTCTCTCTCTCTCTCTCTTTCTGTCCACTCTGCCTGTCAAAAAAAAAAAAAAAAAAAGGAAGTCCAGCAGCCAGGACGTAAGGCCAAGCCCACGTGGGACACCCGCGCAGTCGCCACAGCGCTGGTCCCCAGGGGCCTCCTTCACCTCAGAGGCAACATCGACCCTCTCACGCCCCACAGGGCGGCCCTGACCACAGAGCCCTGACCACAGAACCCTGACCACAGAGCCGCGTGGGTCAGCAGTTACCGGGGCTGTGACCGCACCCCTACTACCCGAGATACCCTGAGACAAGAAATCACCAGGGGCAGCGTCACAGGCTTCCTGCAAACAGGAACGGAGGGAAGGGAAGAGCGTGGGAGAAGGAGGACGGGAGCCCAGGCGTGAGGCGAACCCTGGACTCCACAGAGAGGGGCGGAAGGTGGGGGGAGGGGAGGACGGCGCAGCCAGGACCCGGATGGAAGCAATTTGAGGCCAAGGCCGGCCCTCCTCCTGCTCTCCGCCAGGGAGACCATCCTTGGGGTCATAAGGTCCTCTGCGGGGGCAGGGTGACGGAGTCTGCGCGCACCTTCATCGTACACCACGTACGCCTCTTCCGTGGGGATGGCCGTGTCGGTCTCCAGGCCCGAGAAGTCATCTGGGGAGGGAACGGGGGAGGGGCGTCACGGCCTGCGTTCCCTCCAGAGCCCGGCCGCGGGTCAGCAGGCACAGCCCACTCCCCACCAGCCAGCGTGCACAGCCCACTCCCCACCAGCGGGCGTGCACAGCCCACTCCCCACCAGCGAGGCAGGCACAGCCCACTCCCCACCAGCGGGGCATGCACAGCCCACTCCCCACCAGCCAGCGTGCACAGCCCACTCCCCACCAGTGGGCATGCACAGCCCACTCCCCACCAGCGAGGCAGGCACAGCCCACTCCCCACCAGCCAGCGTGCACAGCCCACTCCCCACCAGCAGGCATGCACAGCCCACTCCCCACCAGCGGGCGTGCACAGCCTACTCCCCACCAGCGAGGCAGGCACAGCCCACTCCCCACCAGCCAGCGTGCACAGCCCACTCCCCACCAGCGGGCATGCACAGCCCACTCCCCACCAGCGAGGCAGGCACAGCCCACTCCCCACCAGCCAGTGTGCACAGCCCACTCCCCACCAGCAGGGCAGGCGCAGCCCACTCCCCACCAGCGAGGCAGGCACAGCCCACTCCCCACCAGCGGGCGTGCAAAGCATCTGTGGGGTTTCCCTCCGACACTGAACGCGACCCAGGCCTCCTCTCCTTGGGTGCAGAGTGGGGCTACAGTCCCTGACCAGAGGCAAACACCGCCCGCTGGTCTGTCTGCCCTCCCGGCCACCTGGGCCCCTCCCTGAGGGAGGTGGCAGGTACAGTCTTCCGGGGAGGGGGGGCAGCTGGTGCTCAGGCTGGTGGCAGAAATCCCTTTATCAGGAAGCATCTGTTCTCTGCCCCTCCAACTTGCCTCTGGAATATTCTAGAAGCCAGAGGCGTCTGACCTCTCCTACAGTCTAACTTGACAAAGTGAGCTCCCGGGCCTCTCCACTCCATCTAAACTGCCACCCTCTCTCACCAGCTACTTAGATTGCCTAACTTCATACGGAGTTTGGAAATAACACGAGAACAGGTTTCTCTTCACAGACACTTGGGCACTTCCCACTTCTGACGTGTGGGAAGCTGACGTCGGCGTGTTTTCCAGCAGGAGTGACGAATGCTCGCCTATCATTTTGCTCCTTGAGGGGTACGGATGCAGCTGTGAAGAGGAGACCATCTTGCCGTGGCTGGCAACATCTTGAGGCAGAAGGTTTCGTAACTCAGAAAGCTCACAGGAAGTTCTCTCTTCCTTTGACCTGAACGAAGCCCCCAGTAACTCTGAATCCAACTTGCCTCTGGAAGTGGGTGGCGACAACAGGGAGAAGAGCTCCGGTTCACTGGACGGCTTTGTGGTGCCGGCACTGTTAGGGGTATGCTGGTGGAGGCCACCCTCGCCTCAGCCCTAGAGGTGTGCGGGCATACCTACCCGCCTCTCAGGTAAGGCACCAGGGCTGTGCATAACAGGCCTGGGCAGCGGCTCAGTGACAGAATTTGAACTCCAAGCCCTCTGGCCCCCAAGACTGTGTATTTTCACTGCATAAAACTGCCTCTACTTTGTAAAGGTTGCACTAACCCATCCAACTGGTGTAACCTCGAAACCTTAAGGTGTGCCCCCAGAATCACCATCGCACTGTGTGATGAGGCGGGGTTATAGTAACTTCCTTCAGCAAAGAATTCGTGTGAAGTTTTCACTATTCGGAAATCACTGATCATTGCCCAGCGAGCCTGGGCTGATGGGCGTTGTGAATGTTATGGTGCAAATACAACCCCCGCTGTGGAGGCCTGGAGCTGGTCTGTCCATCCCTGCTGCAGGGCAGGGTGAGAAACAACAGCCACCATTCAGAGGACCCCAAGGCGCCCCTGTGCCTGCCTGATGCAGGAGAGGGCCACCCCAGGTGTGCTCTGACCAGGCCACAGATGCTGACATGGGCGATGCTGTCAGTCATCACCCTGTGGGGAGCAGAGTGGTCATTTCATGACAAACCATTGAGCACATTTTTCCTTAGGTCATTCAATGTCACAGTGCCCACATCCAACACGAGTCACTTCTGGGCTGGCTCATATCAGAGTTTTCTGGACCAGACCCCTGGTGTTGGGGTTACGTTGCCATTATTTCCTGGCCTACCATTTTTCCCCTTATCAGTTTGATTTTTAGGAACATAGCCTACTTTTCCTCCTTATTAACCCACTTTCATTTCTTTTGGTTATTATTTTTAGTTAGGTCCAAATGGAATTAATTGAGCCATTTTTGCATTCCAGGGTGAACAAGAGTAGGGGAAACTATATGGCTTCCTGTGTGGATTCCTGGCGCTGAGCCCCAAGTCCCTGAGGTGCCGTCACACACAGAGCAGGCAGCAGGCCCCAGGGACACTTTTGCCTGCAAACCAAGGCCTCTGCGGGAGATGAGGACCGCTAAGTCCACTGCACCCGAGTGACGTCATGCCTTTCCCCAAACCAAATAAAAACTGGCAAAGCTTCCTAAAACAGCTCCGTCGCGACTCCAAGTAAAGGAATTTTCATATGTAGCGAAGTATTGGGACAACTTTTTACAAGAATTAGCCACCTGAATTTGCCCCACCTGGATGTCATTTTGAAGCACTGGGAGCTACACAAAACCGGACACTGCCTACGTCAACCTGACTTCAGGGTCAGAAGCTCGAGTCCTCTCCCATCAACGTGGCTGCCGGCCACGGGTCCATCTTCAATCACTTATCGGAAGGGTCAGGAAACAAGCAGTTCAGAACGTTCCCGAAGACTGAGGGCCTGGGCTCCAGGGACACTCAGAAATACAGAGAAAAAAAACTGTTCTCAGCAGAGACTTAGAGAGAGGCGAGAGCAGCCTCTGAAACTCATGATCTCCCCAAATTACACGGCTGGTCCAGTGGCTGTCGATGGTTCCCTTTGCGTGTTCTGTCAGAGAGTGAGCTGCTGGCAGGGCACACGGTTTGCCATAACACGCTCTCTGCAGCACGCAACAAGCTCATGGTGCAAATTCTCGAAGGTGTTCAGCTGGCTCAAAATATGTCAAATACTCAGAGTATCATGAGGTCCGCCGCAGAAACAGAACCTGCAAAACAGAGGTCACGCGCTCTAAGTCCCCGGCTGGAAGACGGAAAAAGCCTGCGTCCTCAGTGGGTTTAGATGCCAGAAATGCACAGTCCGGTGCCAAGGGCCAGTGGAGAAGAAGTAATGTTGTCTTCTTATCTAACGGGGTAGCAAAAGCCAAACACACGTGTGTGTGTATGAACAGGGAGATGAGGGTGAATGCGATAATGGGAACAAGCACATCGTGTCATCCGTGCCTATCTGCAGGGACGTGGGGCACCTGTAACAAAGAGGAAAGCCCACAGGAGGACTGCTTGAGTCACTGCCGTGACTGTGGCCCAAGCCTGCTCCTCGGACGCTGTTTGAAAGCAGCATTTTGGGCCGGCGCCGCGGCTCACTAGGCTAATCCTCCGCCTGCGGCGCCGGCATCCCGGGTTCTAGTCCCGGTCGGGGCGCCGGGTTCTGTCCCGGTTGCCCCTCTTCCAGGCCAGCTCTCTGCTATGGCCCGGGAGTGCAGTGGAGGATGGCCCAAGTGCTTGGGCTCTGCACCCCATGGGAGACCAGGAGAAGCACCTGGCTCCTGCCTTCAGATCAGCATGGTGCACGGGCCGCGTCAGCCATTGGAGGGTGAACCAATGGCAAAGGAAGACCTTTCTCTCTGTCTCTCTCTCTCACTGTCCACTCTGCCTGTCAAAATAATAATAATAATAAAAAAAGCAGCACTTTGAAGGAAAGGAGGAGGAGCGGGTGCTGTATGCAGCTGATCAAGCCACAACTTGGGATGCCTGCATCGTGTATTGGATTGTGGGTTCCAGTCCCGGCTACTTTACTTCCTGCTAACGTACCTGGGAAAGCAGTGAAAAATGACCCAAGTACACGGGCCCCTGCCACCCACGTGGGAGACCGGGGTGGAGCTCCTGGCTCCTGGCTTCAGCCTGGCCCAGTCCAGCTGTTTTGGGCATTTGGGAAATGAGTCAGCGAATGAAAGACCTGTATCCTCTCTTCTCTCCCCTCCCCCACCCCAAATAGCCCAGCAGTTGTGGAAGTGCACTGTGGGCTGGCAATGAAAGGGAAGGTGCAAGAAACACAGAGGGAGAGGGAGAGGGAAGGGGAGGGGGAGGGGGAGGGAGGGGGAGGGAGAGGGAGGGGAAGGGCGAGGGCAGGCGCAGGGGCAGGGCTAGAGGCAGGGAGGCGTGGCTCAGGAGGCTGCAGGTGGGGGGAGGCCCAAGCCTGACGTGGGCTGACACCAGGGCCCTGACTATGAGCTCCCCTCTGCTCTTGGTGTCTCCAGGGCATTTACAGAAGGGCCTGTTGAACAAGAGGTCACTCCACGGTGCTCAACCAAAACCCAGCACATGCACCGTCTTTCGTAGCTTTCTCGAGGAGTCCGCGTGTGATTTTCAAGTCTCGGGCCCTCGTACGCACACGGTTCCTGCCGAGCTGTGCCCCTCTGCCTCTTCACTGTTAGTAGCAGTCATGTCACACCCAGCAACAGATGAGGCAGGTTCCAAGTCCGGCACTCCCAAGGCACAGCCACATCTACAGCGGGTGTCAACACCTGGGTAGAGGCACATGGGGACTGGTGGCAGAGGCCGTCAGGGATGATAATTTGAGAGTTGGGCCAACAGGGCAGCCTAGAGATGAGAAGGACAACAACTCTAAGAAATTGGGGGAGGAAGAATCCAAGGGAACTGCTGAGCCTGACCAAGAAGGCGGGTGGAAGAGCAAAGGGGACAAAGGACACTCCAAGCCATGCTCATCCTGCCTGGTCCCACTTAAGGGAGACAGCCTGCTCATCTTCGAAAAGTTGTTTTTATTTGACAGAGAGACAGTGCCCATCTGCTGGTTGACTCCCCAGCTGCTGAAGGGACAGAGCCAGGAGCCAGAAACTCACCCTAGATCTCCCACATGGGTGGCAGGGACTCGACTACTTGAGCCGTCACCTACAGCCTCTCGCGATGTCTGTTAGCAGGAAGCTGGAATCAGGAGGGAAGCCAGGAATCCAACCAAACGCTCTGACACGGGGTGTGGGCACCCCGTATTTAACTGCTATGCCAGATCCTCATTCCCTTGTACCTATGTTCAAAGTGCCGCCTAGAGGCAAACTATCGTTTGGCTTGAACCAAGAAATCAGAAGAATGGACATGAGTGAAGTAAGAAGTAAGTATGTGTATACGCACACACACACACACACACACACCATGATTTTCAAAGAAAGAAGCGAAAATGCCAAGAAAAATGCTAGCTTTCATGCCAAATAAAAGTCTGAAGTACCAACATCGTCATGGAAACAAAGTGTTTATACATAAGGCCTAAATGAAAGCAGGAAAAATAAAATGTAAAGAAATACCAGGAATTAAAACCAAATCCAAACTAGTTTACAGCTACTTATTAAGTAATGACAAGTTTTTGTCATATTTCAGTTTTGCGAAGTTAACTAGTGCTGCATGTATGAGAAAGAATTCAGTGAGGGAAACATACTATTTTAATAACTAGAAATTCAAGGTGGATCCCATTGTACTCACCAGGGACCCAGACAGGGTAGGACCCTCTTCCCCCATGGTTTGCTTCCTCTGCAACTTTCCTTGTTCTTTGGTTTGATTTTTTCAGCTGTGTCCAGTTTTCCTGTGTATGTGGGACTTTTCCACGAAAGGACTAACTTCAAACAGAACTGTCATTTTGGATAGAGTATTCACATTCTCACTGATGAGGATTCGCAGAGCGCACAGTGCTGTGTGAGCGTTCCAGGCCTGCACCGGGTCCTGACAGGAAGCGTCTTCACGCTGCATTTGCCTGAACACGCGGAAGTGTTATAGCAGTCACGCCAGCCCACTTCAAAGACGCATCTCTGTCTTCCTGGCCTGCTGCAAATCCAGGAGGACCGCTTCCCAAGGGCACAGAACAACAAGGATGAGCCCATGTCGGGCCCACCATGACCTGCACAGAATCACTGTGGCTCCATTTGCAGGGAGAACGAACCTTTTCGGGCAGATGTCAGGCAGGAGCACAGCCCAAATCCAGTGTCACAAAGCAGGGAGAACGGTGCTAAGAGCTGTACTCAGCCAACGTCCACACTTCTGAGAGGCTGCTCCCAGCATGAGCGTTTTCCAAAAAGAGGGCTGGTGCAAAAGGCATGTAGCATCCAGACACGTGTGCCTGGCAAAACACTTTACCTGGAGGTTCACCGTGAGCCTATTCGATGGTACAAACAGCCCAACAGGAAGTAATTTCTTGGGCCTTGTTTAAATCACACAGTTAATCACAGAGCCTTTTAAAAGTATTTGACAACTACGAATCTACTTACACCCAGTGGAACCCACTTTGGGAAACACTAGTCCAAACTAACAATGTCACGCGTTCCAGCTACATTTTTGACTCAGGTGTTGACGAGGGTTCTCAGAGAAAATGCAGGATACCCAGTTAAAGCTGACTTTTAAATAAAAAAAAGTAGATAACTGTTTCAGATCAGTATACCCCATGCACTGCTCTTTATCTGCTAAATCTGCCTACCCCACTGGGACCCTGTACAGTGAAACAGACCTGTTGGGATGAAAGTTGCCGCCAGGGGCTGTCGTACTGCATCAGCCCTCGGTCTCCCTCCCCTGCAGGCTTTGCCACGCTACCCTGCCATGCAGCACGCTAGTTCCCCGGTTACCATGGAGAAAAGCCAGCCCGGTTACCTTCCTCGGGGTAGCATTCCGGGATCCCATTTGAGCCCATTATCAGGTTGCCGTCATCATCGTGCTGTTCCAGGGTCCCGGGGGGGCAGGTTGGGGGGGAGGTAGTAGGTTCAGGAGTGGTGGTGGTAGTGGTGGTGGTGGTGGTGGTGGTGGTTGTCCGCCTCGTGGGTCGGGTGGTGGTGGTCGGGCGCGTGGTGGTGGTTGTGCGGCGGGTGGTAGTGGTCATGCGACGGGTGGTGGTGGTCGTGCGGCGGGTGGTGGTGGTTGTGGGCCGCGGGGTAGTGACAGGCAGAGGGGTGGTAGTTGTGGTGAGCCGCCGGGTTGTGGTGGGGGGAAGGGTGGTCGTTTTGACAACCTCCAAGCCCACCAGAGGCTTCCCTCCAAGACTCAAAATGGGCTTATCCTGGGCGCTGGCCAGTGGCTTGCCGTGTCGCCCCTGCCCAAACAGGGGAAGGCCATCAGGACTCACCACCGGGGTCCCGCTAAGATCTGAAATGAAAGCAACCAAAGCCTTGCAGACAGTGGAATGACCCAGAGGAACTACAAGGCCAGGAGCAAGTGTCTCCAAAAGCTTAGAAAAGGCAAAGGGAGAATTAACAGCAGAGCCGCGAAGGGAGTGGCAGCTGCAGCTGTCCAAATACTCTCGGCTCATTATACTGCCCAGGGCTTTGCATCACCCTTACAAATACACCTGTAACGTCAGCACTCCACATCACCCACACAAATACACCTGTAACTGCCAGCACTCCACATCACCCACACAAATACACCTGTAACTGTCAGCGTTCTGCATCACCCACACAGATACACCTGTAACTATCAGCACTCCGCATCACCCATACAAATACACCTGTAACTGCCAGCGTTCTGCATCACCCACACAGATACACCTGTAACTATCAGCACTCCACATCACCCACACAAATACACCTGTAACTGCCAGCACTCCTCATCACCCATACAAATACACCTGTAACTGTCAGTGCTCTGCATCACCCATACAGATGCACCTGTAATGTCAGCACTCCTCATCACCCACACAAATACACCTGTAACTGTCAGCATTCTGCATCACCCATACAGATACACCTGTAACTGTCAGTGCTCTGCATCACCCATACAAATACACCTGTAACTGTCAGTGCTCTGCATCACCCATACAGATGCACCTGTAACTGTCAGCACTCCTCATCACCCACACAAATACACCAGTAACTGTCAGCGCTCCACATCACCCACACAAATACACCAGTAACTATTAGTGCTCTGCATCACCCACACAAATATACCTGTAGCTGTCAGCACTCTGCATCACTCATACATATACACCTGTAACTGTCAGCGCTCTGCATCACCCACACAAATACACTTGTAACTGTCAGTGCTCCACATCACTCACACAAATACACCTGTCGTGCATCAGGGTGCCCCTTATCCCGGGGGTAATCCTATCCTCTTCTCACTCCCCCTCCTCAGGGTAAAAGTGGCATGTCACGCCAAAGGGCAGCAGACTTCTCCCACAAAGGGCCAGAGAGTAAGGATGTGAAGCTTTCGGGGCCAGAGGGCCCTAGTGGGACTGCTCAACTCTGCCTTCTAGGGCAAAGCAGATACTAGACGCACAGCAAGGGAGGCAGGTGGTGCACAGTTAGAGGAGGGTTTCCACAGTCCCAGAAAACTTCGTGTACCAACACCGAAAAGTAAGTTTTGTGTAATTATTACATCACAAAATATTGTAATTCTTTGCAATTATTAAAAAAATACAGAAACTGTTCTGAGCTCCCAGTTTGTCCCTGCACCCTGAACTGCCCAATTCCAAGAGCAAAGCAAGGTCCCACTCTGCAGAGCGTGGAGGAGTTCCACTCTGCAGGAGAGTGGAACTAGGGTGGGAGGAGGGAAAACGCTCAGTGCTGCCCCTCCTGGGCTCTGCTTCCCACGCAGATTAAAGTAAGGGACCAAGGGCAACCACTGGAAATCAGGGGAGGGGGAGACGGGATATTCTGCAGCTGACTGAGCACACTTCTGCTCCTTCCAAGCGTCTCACTTACCCACAATGGTCCGACCATCTCCTCCTAGTTTAACCCGGAGAGGGTTTCCGTGGGAATCCTGGAGGTGCCTTCCTTCCGCATTCAACACTAACCCACGGTCAAGGTCCACCACCTACACCCAAGACACGGGTTAAAGAATATAGTGGACATGTCACACATTCACATTCATCCAAGACATATGTGTCTGGACATATGCAGACACAGCATGGGAAAAGTAAAAGGTCATGCGCATATGGTCCATGGACTTTCTGAAGTCCCTAGAGTCCTTATGCGTGAAGTGTGCCCGAAAGGAAACCATAACAAGAACTGAAAACATTTTGCCAGTAGCATTCACAAGATTTAAAGAAAGTTAAATGCAAAACGAGTCATATTATGTATTATAGTTGCTTACCTATATAATGTGTACATTAAGTTTCTCAAATAGAAGGTGTTCAGAGTCTTTTTACCAGGGAGTACACTGTGGCTAAAGGCTAAGTGTCTATCAAGAGAGTAAACAAATCGCAGCGACGTCACAGTGTGGAACTATCTGCAGCCAGTGACAGGGCTGTGGAGACGACAGGCACTGACTCTGCCGACAGCTCCAATTTAGGATTTCTTATTTTGTGAAAACCGAAACACACTCACTTGTCTTTATAATCCTGAAACACTGGAGAAAAAGTGCTCTAAGGACAGTCCCTCCACTGTTAACAGTGGGAACTGTGAGGAGTGGCTTGGGGTCGGGGGGACTTCTTTTTCATATATTTCCGAATAGTTTTAACTTCTTGCTATGAACACACATTAGCTGCTAGTGTATTAAAGACACAAGATTTTTCCATGTGGCTATTAATGTTAAAAATCAAAGCTGCTACAACAACACAATTTAATTTGTAATTGCTTAGTATAATATGTATACACAAATGTCATATTTTAAGGAACTATAAAATTGGAAAAGAGCTATTATCTCTGAGTGAACATGACCATGCTTGTCGCTGGTGATTCTCAAAGCATAGCCTGGGGCTGGTAGCCACAGCGTCACCCGGGAAGTTTTCACATATGCAAATCACCTGCCTACCACCTGCCCCAGACCTGTACCTCAACAGTGGTGGGCCACTGTGTCAGGCTGTTTCGGCAATTAAAACACAATTTATTCACATAATCCACCCCATACAGTCTCAATTCAAAATTTCTTGTAATGCCATTTTGTTTAATATGTGTTCTTCCTCTTACTCATTTCTGTTCCCTTGAGGAATAATAAAATGCACCTTTAAATCATCTCTGAAAATGTAATAGAGTCTTTCATGTGTTTTCTTGAATTTTTTCATTCTAAATGGCAAATTTTGATTGGGAATTTACTGAGTAATTTTTTGATTCTTTCAAAGCATATATATATTAAGAGAGACAGAGCAGTCCCACTGCTGGATCACTCCCCATGCATGCAACAACCAGAGCTGGACCTGGAAACTCAACCAACGTCTCCTCTGTGGGGCAGTCACCCAGTTGCTTGAGCCATCACCAGGATTCTGCTTAGCCAGAAGCTGGAGTCAGGAACCGGAAGCAGAAACCAAACCCAAGTGCCAATGTGAGATGCAGGCATCTCAAGCGTTAGGCTAAGTGCCCGCTCTGCAAGAACTGTTTTAAGAACACTGTGAAGTATTCTGTCCATTACCCTGGACCCACTAAAAACTCCTAAATAAGCGCGGGCATGCTTTACAGTGGACATACATAAGGTAGCAACACCTCATTTTAGCCAGACAACAGTTGCTGGAAGATTCGAACGTTGCCAAGAGGACTCAAGGGTTTTCCTTGCTGACCTGCTTCCTTTACAAAGGCTCGGGGACGACCTACAGAAAAGATGCGTCACTCCCCGTCAGAGGCTGAACAAAACTAAAAGCAAGGCGAGGAGCCCGGGGAGACAGAGTCCGTTAGTGAGGCCCTGAAGAGTCGCTGTGGTTGAGCCAACATTGGCTTCTCCTTCCTGACCAGACAAGGAGAGGAAAAAGGGGGTCTCAGTAGCTACCAGAAGACATGCCAGGGACCCGGAAAAGCAAAGACTTCTGAGCTTAGCGAAGCTACACATACGTATCTAACTGAGTGCTTCATCCGGAGGGAGGGGGAGCGGGGGAAAAGGAGGAAGGGGAGGGAGGGGGAAACCTGCTGGGAAGGGGAGGAGGGGGGAGAGGAGGAGGGGGAGGAGAAGGAGGAGGAGGGGCAGGAGGAGGAACTATCACTATTTATCGGCACACTGTGTCCACCATGTTTCTCTTCCCAACAGCATGGAAACAACTGGGGTGTGGAAGACGCTGACCCTACCCACTTTGTTCCTTGAGGGCCATTGATAATTCGCTGTCCATTCGGTTTCCCATTACTACCAGGGAGTACTCTCCCTTCCGCATTCGGTCTGCCGTTATAACCTGCACAGTGCAAAAAATAATGAAAATAAAACACAGTAAATTCAATGTTCCTGGCAATCCAGCCACGTAGCAAACTGTACGTAGTAACTCAGCACTCCAAACAGAAACACCAGGCAGAATTTTAAACCAAAAGTTCATGCACGCTAGATAATGCTGGTCTGACATGGTGACCTCTGTGTGACAAATGGTTACGTTCAGCGAGAGCGCAGTGACGTCACAGCTTTCGGACAACACGGGGTGGGGTGTGAGCGTGTGAAGTCTAAGTAAGTTTGCTCCATGAGGCTCAGGACCTGAGTGGCTGCAGCTTTTGCTTCAGTCAACCAGAAGCCGGAGGGAGGAACAGAGAATTCTCTCCCAGGCACTCGGATCTGTCTTTTTCTGGGCGTGTGGTGCTAAATAAACCTCACAATGATTTTAGCAGACTCGGGTCCCAGTGCCCCATGGCCAGGTGTGAGAACTCCGTGCTGCCCACCAGCTGGCCGAGCTCTGGGGAGGTCTCTGCTGAGTCAGCAGGAGGGGTGGCGGCTGTCCTGTCCTTCCTCCACCTCACGCCCTGTCACAGCAACCGCAGAGCCGGAGCGCTCGGCTGCAGCCTCGCCTGCCGGGGGAAGTGCTTCTGACACCGCTCTGCAGATCAAGGACTTGTACCTTGCCCTCCTTCATTGAACAAACACTACTGAGGATTTACTGAGCTCCTGCATAAAAGGGAATGCTGAGTTTTAGCTCTATTATTGGGGTCTTAGATTTGCTTAAAATAGTCAGTCTTCAAGGACTGTTGACTTCAATGTGGGCCGTTGTTCTATGTCTCCAGACTGGACTAAAATATTGCATGGTACGGATTAGCAAGTATTCACACATTCATTCAAGAATGTTCTATGTAGCTCAGATTACATCAGGAGAGCTCATGGCTTAACTGAATGCAAGTTTATGTCAAACACTTCAGTCCCTGCTCTGGGGTCCGTGTGGGCTCCAGCTCACAGCTGCCTGCGTTCCAACCTGTGTCACACACACACAAGGCACAGGTCCCTGAGACCCCCTGAGTGACACACACCCTTCTCCAGCACTGCCAGGAGCACCCCGACAACATTCACTGTTGTAATCTCAGAGTTCACACTCCACACCTTGGAGTCTGGCCCAGAGTGCATTTGGCTGGGAGTGTGGAGACAGAAATAAGAACCAGACAGGAGCAAGAACAAGATAGGCCCACACACTATCCAATGTCACTGCGGAATCCTTAGCTTATGCTGACAGGAGAACGGCTACACAGGACGTCACAGCAGTGACAGTCTCTCAGTGTGACACTCTCTCAGTGTGACAGTCTCACAGAAGTGACAATCTCACAGTGTGACAGTCTCGCAGCGTGACAGTCTCACAGAAGTGACAATCTCGCAGTGTGACAGTCCTCAGTGTGACAGTCTCTCAGTGAGACAGTCTCTCAGTGTGACAGTCTCTCAGTGTGACAGTCTCACAGAAGTGACAATCTCGCAGTGTGACAGTCTCTCAGCGTGACAGTCTCTCAGTGAGACAGTCTCTCAGTGTGACAGTCTCACAGAAGTGACAATCTCACAGTGTGACAGTCTCTCAGCGTGACAGTCTCTCAGTGTGACAGTCTCTCAGTGTGACAGTCTCACAGAAGTGACAATCTCACAGTGTGACAGTCTCTCAGCGTGACAGTCTCACAGAAGTGACAATCTCGCAGTGTGACAGTCTCTCAGTGAGACAGTCTCTCAGTGAGACAGTCTCTCAGTGTGACAGTCACACAGAAGTGACAATCTCGCAGTGTGACAGTCTCTCAGCGTGACAGTCTCTCAGTGTGAGTCTCTCAGTGTGACAGTCTCTCAGTGTGACAATCTCACAGAAGTGACAATCTCACAGTGTGACAGTCTCACAGAAGTGACAATCTCACAGTGTGACAGTCTCTCAGCATGACAGTCTCACAGAAGTGACAATCTCGCAGTGTGACAGTCTCTCAGTGTGAGTCTCTCAGTGTGACAGTCTCTCAGTGTGAGTCTCTCAGTGTGACAGTCTCACAGCAGTGACAGTCTCTCAGTGTGACAGTCTCACAGCTTTTACAGTTTCACAGTGGTGACATTTTCTCAGTGGTGACATTCTATCAGCAGTGACACTCATACTGCTGACAGTCTCTCAGTGTGACAGTCTCACAGCAGTGATAGTCTCTCAGCAGTTACATTCTCACAATGATATTCTCACAGAGGTGACAATGGTGACAGTCTCACATCATGACAATCTCTCAGTGGTGACAGTCTCACAGAGGTGACAGTCTCTCAGTGGTGACAGTCTCACAGTGTGACAGTCTCACAGCAGTGACAGTCTCACAGTGTGAGTCTCACCATGGTGATAGTCTCTCAGTGTGACAGTCTCTCAGTGGTGACATTCTCACAGCAGTGACAGTCTCACAGTGTGACATTCTCACAGCTTTCACAGTCTCTCAGTGTGACATTCTCACAGTGGTGACAGTCTCTTAGTGTGACAGTCTCAGAGGTGACAGGCTCACAGTGGTGACAGTCACACAGTGGTGACAGTCTCTCAGTGTGACAGTCTCTCAGGGGTGATAGTCTCTCAGTGTGACAGTCTCTCAGGTGACAGGCTCACAGTGGTGACAGTCTCACAGTGGTGACAGTCACACAGTGGTGACAGTCTCACAGAGGTGACAGTCTCACAGAGGTGACAGTCTCTCAGAGGTGACAGTCTCACCATGGTGACATCCTCACAGTGGTGACAGCCTCACAGTGGTCTCAGTCTCACAGAGTAAGAGCACACGATAAGGACTTCCAGGAGGCAGAAAGACAGGGGGCTGTGTGGTTGCATTTGGACTGCGCCTGTAGCTCAGCCACTGCAGGGACCTGACCCGGGCCAGCCACCGGGACCCTGAGCCCAGCATCTCCTGCGTGGGTGACAGGCCAACCCTGGGAGCCGCTGGAGAGGCCAGGATGATGACACCCGTGCAAAGGTGCTAAGTAGTCAGGTACCACCGAGGAACTGCTCCCAGCTCACTGGCACCTCTAGGAGGACACGAGGCCGGGAGATGGTGTGTGACGACCTATTACCTTGTGTGTGCAGAGACCTGGGCGGCTGGCGGGAGCCAGGGGTGCGGAACCGGCGCTGCATCCGCTGGCGCAGGGACAGCATGGGCGTGGTGGACGAGAAGTCAGGTGGCGCACGCGTGGGTGGCCACGGCCGGGAGGAGGCGCTCACCGCCGGGCTGCGAGGCGGGTGTCCCGTCGGCGGCTGTGGCGTTCTCGGGGTGCTGCCTGGAGGCGGCATCCTGTCCTTGGTGTATTTGCCACCCCTGGGGCTGGTGGCAGAGGGCCACTTGGACACAGAGGGAGGCAGAGGGGCTTCCTTTCCCCCCTTCAGGTACCCCGCGTCCTCCTCCTCCTCCTCCTCCTTCTCCTCTGCAGATACCGACTGTTGAGATTTGGACAGCAGGGGCCGCTTGGAAAGTGCCTCCTTCTGCCCTGGGGTGGCCTGGACCCCTGTCCTGCTGGGGCTCCGGGGCCAGCCAGGCCGCGGGGAGGAGCCAGCAGGTGCGCGCTGGGCCCCGCGGTCGTGAGGTGTGGCCTGATGGGGAAAGGCCTGGCCGGCGACCTGGGTGCTGCCGTCCATGGAGCCGCTCGAGGACTGCAGGTCACCACGCGGGGAGGCCGTGTGGAGTACTGCCCGGGAGCTGGCCGGGCCCGGTGTGCTGGACGCAGGGGGCCGGGCAGGGGGCAGCCGGTGGCCATTGGACACAGGCCGTGTCTGAGGGGAACGCAGTTCCTCGTCCACGTCCGTGCTTTGCTGAGCGTCCAGTGTCTTATGGGTCAGCGCGGCGGTCTTGTCCTGAGGATGCATGACTGTCCCGGCTGACTTGGGGCTCTCTGGAATGGCCTCCTTGTGGTAGAGGCTGGCCCCTCTCTGGGGGCCTCTCCGCAGGGGCTCCCCGCCCCGAGAGGTGGGCTGCCTGGAGGAGGAAGGCACGTGGTCATGGACCACAGTGGCCGGGAGTGGTTGCTCATCCTCCTCCTCTGTGTGGACAGAGGAGCCTGGCCAAGGGTGGGAAGCCGGCTGAGGATGAGCCCTGGAGTGGGCTGGGGAGGCCACAGTGGCCTGGGGGGAGCGGGAGGGCTGCAGCCGCAGTCCCCGGCCACCGCCCAGCCTGCTGGGAAACCTGCCATGGGCAGCAAAGGGCCTGTTTCGGAGCAAACTGAGGTGTCCAGAGGCAGGCCTGGCCCGCGCAGTGGGGGCCGTGACTGGGTCCTGCCTCCTGCTGTCTCCCACATCCCCGTTGTCACCATCGCTCCCTCCCCTGGACCCCTGGGTCCTGGAGGAGAAACGCGAGGAGGCCGGGGAAGGCACTGTGGGCTGCGATGGCGCCGTGGGCCCTGCTGCAGCTCGGTCAGGTGTGCCCTGGGGGGCTGTGTGGTGGGCGCCTTGGCCACGCCTGTGCACACCTTCCTGCCGGGGCGGCCCTGGCACCCTGGCCCTAGCTGGAGTCCTGCCAGGGACCAGGGCTGGGTGGCCCGGTCTACTCAGTGGCCTCAGGGTTTGCCTGTGCTCTTGAGTCTGCAGGGGCGTCGTGCGTGGGTCCTCCAGGGAGTCCGGCTCCTCCTCCTGGGTGACTTCGGTCGACTGAGGATCCGGCTCTCCAGTCTTCCTGGGGCGGAGCTGGGGCTTCCTGAGCAGCCCCCCGTTAGCCAGGATTTTGTTCTTCAAGTCCAGGAGCAGGTCCTTGGCTTTGCTGCCTCGCGGGGAGGCAGGCACACGCGTGTGCCCTGAGGGAGCTGGGGTCTGGGGCGGAGGGGAGGGCGCCGCGGGGCTTTGGGGCTTCCAGTTCTCCACCGTGCTCTGCGCCGCGTCCCGCTCAGCTGCGCTGGCTGCAACAGATCGCAAAGGACTGGCCGTCAAAGAAATGTAAAAGCTGTGCGGACGATGGCGGGATGGAAGTGCCCCAAGTCGGTGATGGAAACCGACTGCTCTGCCTGAGCACCCTGGATTCCGGAGCTGCCTTCCCCACTTACAGTGTTCTGTTGGGAAGCTCTGTTCTGCTTTTTAAGTAACAGATCTATCCCAGAACACATCGCTGAATCGGGTCTCTACAAATCACATCAGGATATGTCCCAGCTGGTTGTCTGCTGGAAACTTGAAACGAGTGCTGCGAAGCACAGTCAGCACCCTGCATCTGTGGTTTCTGCTTCCAGGGACCGACCAAGCCCGGAGAGAACCGGGACTGATGGTGCCGCGGCTCCCTGCACAGCCCAATACCCCCTGGCACGGTATTTACACCGCGCCGGTGTCACACGCACTCCGGGAGCACAAGCATCCAGGCGGGTGTGCACATCGCAGGGACGTGAGCATCTCAGAGTTGGCATCCTCCAGGGGTCCTGGGGCCCATCCCCCACTGACCCCAAGGGTGATTCACTGACTTCGGAAAGGGCAAAATCCCACGTAGGGTGCTCGCCGTGGAACGCAGTGTCAGTATATCACATGAGCATCACAGACACTCGGGGAGACGTATGCCTGGTACAAGATGCCGAACGACCCGCACTCCAACGCATGTGGGGTGCAGGGCTGGGGCGAGCCAGGGACCCCATTTGGGAAGCCTGAGGGTTTACAAGGCATTGCCTGTTGCCCTCAATGTGGCTTTGCTTATTTCTTCCTTCTTGCTTAAAATGCCATTACTCATGGATACAGCTGTAATTTAAAAAAAAAAAAATCCTCCTGGGCCAGGCCAAACCTGCTACTAAACAGACCCCACAGGTCACCGTGACCCAGTCCCTCCTATAAGGGAGGGGGTTTACCTAGCAAGGGGGCCCGAGGGAGCAACCCTCTTCTGCCTCAGTTATTCTCAAGGGAAACTTCCCGGTGGGGAACTCTGCAGGCCCTGAGCGTGGACGCCCGCGTCGGGCAGGACTGTGGAGAAGCAGAGACGAGAAGCCGTCCACAGACACGCCCGCCGCTGTGCGACTCTCCTACGTGTTGGGTTTTGATGCTTTTCAGATAACGACACCAGTGAAATTCTCCCCAAGGATGATGGGCCACGGGGCAGGCACGCGGCCTGCAGTCACAGCGCCACTTCAGCTGCACGTGTCCCACGTGGAAGTCTGATAACCCAGCTCCGGCTCCTGACCCAGCTGCCTCCTGATGCAGACCCTGGGAGGCAGAGGTGATGGCTCAAGCAGCTAGGCTCCTGCTTCCCACCTGGGAACCCTGGCTTGCTGGGTTACAGCCTCAGCCAACGACTGCTGCAGGCATTGAGTAAGTAAAGCAGCAGATGGGAGCTCTCTCTCTCTCTCTCTCTCTCTCTCTCTGCCTCTCAAATAAATATTGAAATTTTAAAAAGTGGACTGCACACTAGAACCTTAAATGCCAGATAGAAAGTAAGGAGTACTAACAATTACAAATGTCACTCTACACTTGTAAAAACATTCTTCTTGGTCACCACAAGCCCCCAAATTAAAAGCGATGTACAACTATTTGTATAATTTAGACATTTAGAACACTGTAAAAATGATGGATGTCATCAGCCATCAGTTAACATTTTAGTCTTTAGATAGACTATTTCTAAGGGGGGGGCACAAAATATTTTAGGCATCTACATGCAAACTTGAACCCCAGAAAATCAGCACCCAAGCAGGTGCACCCCGAGAGCGTGATTCAGAGTGACACGGCACCGGCCGCAGGGACGAAGAGGGAGAGAAACCCCGAGACGCGAGGCTTACCTGCCGGCATCGCCACAATGAAGGCTTTGGAGGGAGGGCCGGGGCCCCTCCTGTTGGCAGCCCGGATCTTGAACAGGTAGCGTTCCCCCGGCTGCAGGCCGTCCACCAGGGCGGAAGTGGTGCCTCTGGGGTAGGTCAGGGACTTGGCTCCAAACGGCTTGAGCGCCGGGGCGTAGGACAGAATGTATTCTGAAAGGATTTGGCAGGCGGTTGGGAGAGCGGACTGCATCCAGCGCTCAGAGCGCATGGGCAGCTGAACCAAACGCGCATTACCCAAGGCGGGGCACCAGCCCTGCACGCCATGCCAATCCCAGCCGAGCAGCAGTGGGAGGTGGACTCACACTCATCCACTCGGTCACCGCACCGCACAGGGCTGGCTCCTGGCAAGCAGATTAGACGCTGGAACCCAGGAGGTCAGCAGTTTCCACACAGTTCACAGAAAACACATTGTGCGTGAGTGGTTTTCATTATATTCATTTACTAACTTGCTGTGATGGAATTCACAGGTCCTGGGCAGAAGAAACCAGCCAAAGAAGCACCAACCACTAGGGCTGGATTCCGAATAGCTTGTGACCTCCTCATGATTTTGAGTTTATTACTAAGCTGGCTCGTGGTCCTTAGCCAGAAAAATCCCCTACTAGGAATATAATTTCTCCTTTGTAGGAATTATGAAAGTTGGTCCCCACTGTATGCTGATAGGGCTATTTTGCAGTATTTAGAACTGTGATGAGAAGCTGCTAGCGGCTAGCACTGTGGCGTAGCAGGTAAAAAAGCCATTGCCTGCAGTTCCGGCATCCCATACGGGCACCAGTTCAAGTCCCGGCTGCTCCACTTCTGATCCAGCTCTCTGCTGTGGCCTGGGAAAGCAGTGGAAGATGGCCCAAGTCCTTGGGCCCCTGCATACCACATAGGAGACCCGGAGGAAGCTCCTGGTTCCTGGCTTCAGATTGGCCCAGCTCTGGTCATTGTGGCCATCTGGGGAGTGAACCAGCAACTGGAAGACCGACCTCTCTCTCTCCTTCTCTCTGCCTCTGCCTCTCTGTAACTCTGCCTTTGAAATAAATAATTTTTTTTAAAAAAAGAAAAGTTGCTAAGTACAAAGATTTTTATGTGATGTCTAATGTTTCTATCTTTAGTTGGTTATCTCACTCTGGCTCTTGAACTTTCAAAATCATAGAAAATTCACTCCAAGAAGCTAAACCATCTCTATGCATCCATGGAAATAAAGTAACACAAGAAGTCATACTGTAAACCATAACTTCAGCTGTCAACTGAAAACTATCGGGCCTGTTTTCCCCCAGTGAACTCAAGAGTTACAAAACTTGCCAAATAATGAGAGTAGGAACTAAGAAAAATGATTCGAAACAGAAAAAAACGAAGCAGTTACCAAGAGCATCGAGACCTTTTCTTTCCTCCACTATTTGGAAAACGCTCAACCAAAAGTGATTGTGCAGCATTTGTCTGGAAAAAATGGCATTTTTTGTCCTCACTGAAAATGAACAAGCTGGCCATTTGCGGTGGTCAAAAGTAACAGTTAAGAGAACCCACTATGAATAAAATTTTGTAATTCCAATTCTTCTTTTGGATTCAATTCATCTGGGGAAAAAATTAACTGTGTCAAAGAATATCCTTCTATTGTGGCTTTTTATATATGGACAGTGCCCCAATATAATTATTTCAACCCAACCACCGTACCCGCATGAAAGTAATCTAAGCCAGGCTTACAGACATGAATCTTTCAAACATAAAAACCCAGGAGAAATGAGCATTTCTGGAAATACTGAACTGATAACCAGGGAACTTCTCTCACCAAAGAGCTATAAATGTAAACTTAAGATGTGGGAGAGAAACAGAGAATAAATGGCCTGGTGATAAGTGGCCAGAGGAGGGGTCACTGACTTCTCTAAAACTAAAAAAGGAGTCACCCAAAACGCCTGTCTTCCATGTCCAGAGGCGCTTCCAGCAACACAGCACTGCTCAACAGGGGGCCCACGTGCAGAGTGTCATTAAGAAGTGATGCGGTGGGGCCAGCTGAGTACTCGCTCCCTTCATTTGCTTTGCATTTATCCCATTGAGAAAAAGAACAGTACAATCTATTCTTGAGAGACCGGAAAGTGAGAATTAAGTATGGAAACCACAGTTCTCCATCCATGTACCGCCCTTCACTTCTATTGTTCCATGAAAACACATCCTACACATCAGCAAAGACAATTTATGGTTGAATACAAAAAAAGAACCATTCAAGATTTCCACTTAAGAAATTCTCAAAGGAGATTAGTGGTAATTTTCTGGATTTCTTCACAGTAACTTTTCATAGTTTCTGGACATAACAGACTTAAAGTTGTCTCCCAACATCTAGTGGCAATAAAAAATATTTCTTCCTTAAATGCAAACTCCACTCCCTGCCTAAGTTTGTGGTACATTCCTGTAGGCAGCGCCAACAAAAACCTCACTGTGGCTCTACAATGCGTCTGAACAGACGTCTACAAGGTTCTTGAGTGCTTTGGCATTGCAAAAGAAAGATTTATGCACATTTTCAAAATTCTCAATGACTATTTTTTAAATTTAACAAGTTATGATTATTTTATTCCATTCTTTGTACTTTTAAATCTTCAGTATTTTTTCTATTTTAATGTGATGTTTTCCTCAGCATCGACAAAGACTGACAAATGTGAAATAAATCTGTTTTCCAGTAATTAGTGCTTGGGTCTTTCAGACCTACTGGAAGCACTGAGGGTCCCATTAAAGATAGGTCTGGTTTTAGAGAGTCCCTGCCAACCCTACTTTCAGGATTCTACTGGCGCCATGGAAGGCTCCTTGCATGAAGATAAGGGTGTGGCTTGGATGGTCAGGGCTGTGATGTCACACCCACGCAATCAACATCCCTCCTGACGGCCACACCAAAGCCCCTGCCTGTAGGAAGGTGAGAAGAAGAATCACCTCCCAGACTGCCTGAACTTCCGTATCCCTTGGGTTGGCGCCTGTTATACATATGTTACTCCCTTGTCCATCTCCGGCCACCTGACCTATTGACCTTTTGTACATATGTCACTCCCTTGTCCATCTCCAGTCACCTGACCTGTTATACATATGTCACTCCCTTGTCCATCTCCAGTCACCTGACCTGTTGTACGTATGTAGCTCCCTTGTCTATCTCTGGCCACTTGACCTGTTGTACATATGTGGCTCCCTTGTCCATCCCCAGTCACCTGACCTGTTATACATATGTCGCTCCCTTGTCCATCTCTGGCCACCTGACCTGTGGTACATACGTTGCTCCCTTGTCCATCTCTGGCCTCCTGACCTGTGGTACATACGTTGCTCCCTTGTCCATCTCCGGCCACTTGACCTATTATACATATGTTGCTCCCTTGTCCATCCCCGGTCACCTGACCTATGGTTATACATATGTTGCTCCCTTGTCCATCTCCAGCCACCTGACCTGTTATACATATGTCGCTCCCTTGTCCATCCCCGGTCACCTGACCTGTGAGCGGAGGCAGCATCCATGCATCTCCCAGCCTGGGAGTGAGGTTCCTACCTTTCACTTTCCCCTCGGTCTCAGGCAGTGCATCCCAGGAGGCGGTGACAACTGTAGGTTTGCCATTGACTGGCCAGACACGTAAGTTTTCAGGAGCTGTGGTAGGAGCTACAAAACAACAAGGAATCACACAGTTTAGAATGCCCCCATGGATATCCTAAAAGTAGAGGGCAGATGCACAGCCTACGTCACACATGTTTTCAACTGAAGAGCTACGGTGTTCACGTGTATCACACGTGAGAGTCAATGCTTCCTTTGCTCTCGTGCACTGTGGCAACTACAGCACTTGTACCAACTCACGAGTTCAGGTGCATCTAGCTGCACGCTCGTAGGAATTCAGAATTTCCCTCATAGCCAGACATTGAAATACACAAAGAGGATTAAAACCCAGTTCCAACTCGCTTTTCATGAAACACTTAAAGATGCAGTCTAAAAAAAAAAAAAAACTAAGGGTAACCCTGCACGCAGAACAAACTCCTCCCCAGACTCACACACTCCACCTGAGGCTGAGGGAAGGGGAATGTGTCCTCCACACAAGAGCCACACATCACAGGGGCCTGGCACACGCTGCGGTGGCTTGCAGTGGCCACACGCACAGGGACTCCGTGTGCTCCACCTGTTAGAGCGACACGCTGGGGAGAGGCCAGTGAAGGCCAAAACATGGACCCCAGGAGCCAGTTCCTTCCTTTCTCTGCGCTCATAAATACAAACACGACCAGGACTTAGGGTGACAGTGACTGCTGTCATGCTAGCCTGGTCACGCTCTGTCTTTCCATCCTATTTCAGGAGTAATTCCCAACCTGCGAATGCAAAGGGCACTCGAATACAGACCAGACTCGGGGGTCCTCTGGAAGACCGAGGTGCTCCACTTGCCGTCTCGCTCGCCCTGTGAGATACGGACTGCAAATTCATACACGGTGTCTGGAATGAGGCTCTCGATCAGCGCACGCCTGTTAGCGGTTTGCTTGTAATCCCACCTGGCTGACTCGCCCTTTTCTCGGTAGCGCACGGTATACTGCCTGTAGGAAACGCAACAGCACACGCAGCTGAGGAAACTGCGGCTCCACTCCAGTGCCTTGCTGCTGTTCTGCCCCCCAGGTGATGATGTTGGGCACGGCACGGGGAAATCAAAGAGGGGAAAAGCTGTCAACTACTGGCCTTGTCGATACATCCCAGGCAGTGCTGTCTACAGTGGGCCAGCCACGACGGAACTCAGTGGCTTCTCAAGACCAGAAAGTCTCACTGCTCCAAAGATCAAGCAGAGGCTGTCCAGGTGAGGGATACAGGTACCAGGCCGGCACTGTGGTACAGCGGGTAAAGCCGCTGCCTGCAGTGCCGGCATCTCATATGGGCGCCAGTTCGAGACCCAGCTGCTCCCCTTCTGATCCAGCTCTCTGCTATGGCCTGGAAAAGCAGTAGAAGATGGCCCAAGTCCTTGAGCCCCTGCACCCACCTGGGAGACCTGGAAGAAGCTCCTGGCTCCTGGCCTTGGATTGGTGCAGCTCCGGTCGTTGTGACCAATTGGGGAGTGAACCAGCAGATGGAAGACCTCTCACTCTGTCTCTACCTCTCTCTGTGTGTAACTCTGACTTTCAAATAAATAAATCTTTTAAAAAAAGAAAGAAAGGGATACAGGTGGACAGATTTTGTGAGCCCACTACCTGTGTGTGTGTGAGAGAGAGAGGGACGGTGGTGTGAATAGGGGAAATGCTAAAGGCCAGAATGAGCCCAAGATGTCTCAGCTCTCCAGAAAAAAAGAAAAAAGACACATTTCATGCCTCGTCAGGCATGTTTGCTCAGGTTTAGGCGGAAAGGAGACATGTGGTTTTGCGTTGACTTATTACCATAAAATGAAGCAAAAATGTGGAACAAATAGACCAGGAAAGAGACACTTATGGAAGGAACTCTGTGTATGGTTGTCCGGGACAGAAACACGGTGTAACCAAACACGGTGACACTCTGCAGCCCAAAAGCCACAGACATTGTGTACCGGGTCCTATTGTCTCCTAGCAGTAGAAAGTATTTGATGCATGAAAAATGTGCTGTTGATTATATTTAATGAGTCACAAGGCTGCAGGTGAAGACATGGCACACGACGAACACAAGTCCCGCTAAGAGAACGCAAGCCTCCTTGGGCTTTCAGCGAGACGTTGGAAATCCACTTCAGGCAGCAGGAGTGGGTCGTGCTGGGGAGGCCAGCGGGCCGCGGGGAGAACCTCTGAGGGTCTTCTGAGGTCTGGTGCAAGGAGCAGAGGGTAAAGGGAGCTATAGAGCTGATCTAAGCATCAGCACGTTAGTACATGCGTGTACATATGAGTTCAGCATTCCACTCCATTCGTGTTAAGGTGCACTCCCTTTTCCTCGCTGTAGATGGGGTCAAATATGAGGTTGTTTCAATCAATTTATAGAAAAGTGGAAGCAAGAGAGAACTTTAGGGTCAGCGCTGTGGCGTAGTAGGCTAAATCTCTGAAGTGCCAGCATCCCATATGGGCACCAGCTCATGTCCAGGACGCTCCTCTTTCAATCCAGGTCTCTGCTTACAGCCTGAGAAAGCAGTGGACAATGGACCCAATGCTTGGGCCCTTGCACCCTCATGGGAGAACAAGAAGAAGCTCCTGGCTCCTGGCTTTGGATCAGCTCAGCTCCGGCCATTGCAGCCATTTGAGGAATGAACCAGCAGATGGAAGGTCTCTGTCTGCCTCTCCCTTTCTCTGTCTGTAATTCTACCTCTCAAACAAATAAATAAAATCTTTTTTTAACTAATAACTTCATTGGATTACCAAAAAAAAATGAAATTCACACAGTGTTTCCATGAACTTTGTGAAGACCACTTGTATTAATACACAACGAGGCCCCCAAATTGTCGTCCTCTTGATCAAATGAACTATCCAGTCACTGAACGTATGCAACGTTGATGGCTGCACTAATTCACCACTAACCAGAAATGAGGGGGGCGGTCACCAGTGCTCTTTTAACGTAAAAAATTATTTTAACTTTATAATTCATTTTTCTTCCATTACTATCACAAATGAATATAAAAATCTGGGTAATAATGCATCGTAGGCTGAGACAAAAAAGGTACACTTTGTTTTGCACAAATGAGCTGAATATGAAGCAATTCGGTGTTCCACAAATGGCTAATGAGGAGCTACGTGAGGTAAAAATCCACCCTCCTGGGACTCTTCCTGGGTGCAGGAGCAGCTCAGCCTCCTCGCAGGATAGGTCTTGTGCATGAACAGATATTAATGAGACAGAGCAAAACACACATGGGCCAGGAAAGAGATGGAATCTAGGGTGTTCCAGGCACAATACAGAACTCTCAGCAAGTCAGATGGTGAGATGTGAGGTCCTGCTGTGTCACACACACAAACACACACACACACACACACACAGAAACACACACACATACACACATATACACACATACACACATAATACACAGACACACAAAGACACGCACACATAACACACATACACACAGAGACACACACACACAAACACACATACACACAAAGACACACACACATACACACATATACACACATACACACATAACACACAGACACACACATACACATAACACACACAGACACACATATACACACATACACATACACACAGAGACACACACGTACACATATACAGAGACACACAGAACACAGAGAGACACACACATACACATACACACAGAGACACAAACACATACACACATACACACACAAAGACACACACGCACATAACACATACACACAGAGACACATACACACAGAGACACATACACACATACACAGACACACATACACAGACACACAGATACACAGAGACGCACACACACACACATATACATACACACAGACACACACAGACACACACACAATAACACACATACACACATACACACAAACACACATGCACACACATATACATGCACACACATGCACACATATACACATACATACACATACACACATACATACACACGGATACACACAGAGACACACATACACACTCACATACATACACATACACACATATGCACATACACACATACATACACATATTCACATGCACGCACACATATACACACACATACACACAGGTACATGCATACCCACATACACACACAGACACACACAGACACACACACACATACACAGAGACACACACATACACACATATGCACACACATACATACACACACACACTCACATACACACATACACACACACACCCCCAGCAGCATCTGACTTGTGAGAACTAGATTGCCACAGAACAGTGCACAGGTGAGCTACAGAGAGGCCAGCATTCACAGGAATCAGAAAATCGAATCCCTCAGTGGACGTGTTTCCAGAGCCGGGCCAGCCACAGCCCTCACGGGTCAGGGAAGGAACACGCAGAGCTACCTGGACGCGACGACTTTCTTCTGCTTCTCCACCGCGGGGTCCACCCAGGCCACAAGCACAGACTGGGACGACATAACCCGCACACTGATGTCTCTGGGGACGTCCAGTTCGTCCTCTTCTGAAACGCAACGGGAGACACAGAAGGCCGTCACCACCCCCAGGCGCAGAGCGTCTTACTCACTCTGCAGAACTCGGGGTCACGGTGCTTACTGTGGTCAAGTGAATGAAAGTGGAGGTAACAACCATCTGGCCGGTGCGGAAGAGCGTACATCCCCACTCTCGCTCTTGCTACACAGTCTGAGAAACAGGAGTTCGCTTGAAAAGCTGCCTGACCCGGAAGACACAGAAGAGCCCAGAAAGCGTGCTCTGCCTTGGTCGAGCTACTCCAGGGGTCCCCAGGCTGCTCTCCGTGTACTCCGTAAGTCTCAGGGCAATAATAAAAGTGTCTAAAATTCCTCACTTACTTATTTGAGAGCGAGCTCCCATCACTTCCCACGACAGCCAGAACTGGGCCCAGGCTGAAGCTGGGAGCCTGGAAATCCATCCATCCAGGTCTCCCACTTAGGTGGCAGTGACCCAAGGACTTGAGCCGTCACTACTGCCTCCCAGGAACCGCAGTCAGGAGCCAGAGTTTGTGCCAGAGTTTGTGAGACACGGGCGGGCTAGCCCACATCCTAACTGCCAGGCCAAACACCCGCCCCCCAAAATGAAACTTTTATGGGAAGAAAAAGTTTAGAGGAAAAAGGACTCAACTTTGTATTTCTAGCATGATCACAGCAAGAAATAAAAATCTGGGTTCAAACAAATAGCATGGCGCTTGATGTTCTCCCATCAATAAGTGACTTTAAGGCAGATAAGATTCGTGTTCAGATATAAAAGACAACTCAGCCGGCCAGTTTCTCACAGAGATTTCTCTCTGTAGACTGTAGAATGCAGCATCATTACAAAGTTCACAGTCTTAAAGTTTGTAATCTCCAACACAGTTGAGACTTACAAAACGTCTCTAATCTTGCTTTTGAGTTTCCTATTTTTAGCTTTTGTTTCTTTTATTTTTCTTTTTATTTCTCAGGATGGTATTTCAAAAGAATGTGGATTTTGCCACAAAATAGTTATCCTGTTAGATAGGGTCTTTCTCTACGTCGACAACTGATGAATAATAAAAGGGAAACATCATCTTAGTGGAACTGCTTTTTAAAAGTGTAATAAATCCCATTTTACATTAGGATTCATGAAGATGACCGTGCTGTAGGCTGTCTCTTTAAATTGGGCACATGGTCCAGAAAAGACATGTAATTCGTTAATACATGAATAACATAAACAGTATCCGTGAACAGGTGTCAGGGAAAGTCCCCCGTGGAGAGAGGACACAGCCAGGCTACCTTCCCACTCTGCCTCACGCCGTCTCTACGCCAGGGTAGCTGACACAGTCTCTGTGAGGACATCTTCCTGCTCCCACCTGGGTCTGTGCAATGCCAAGGGCAATCCCCGGGGGGCCAGGCTGTGCCTTTCCATGGAGTGAGGCGTGGCTGCTCCTGCCACGACAAAGCCAGTGCACAGAGAGGCTGATCAAGCAGTGTGGTGCGCTGCGGCTCATCCCAGGAACGCCCCAGCCTCTGCCTGTGCAGGACGCACGCTCACACCCACACTGCCACCGTCTGCCCTGCTCTTTCCCCCAGCCTCCGACAAAGTCAGCCGGCAGCTGAGCCGGCGCATCCTCAGAAACCCACCTGAGATCTTCCGTTTGGTGAGGGCAGCCCTGTAGACCGGCTGGCTCTGGCCCTGGGAGTTCACGGACTGCAGGGAGACCACGTACACCGACTCCGAGGCTGTGGAGCAAAGCGCAAGGTGAACCGCAGCTTGGCCATCACGGCACGCGTGTCCCGGCCTCCCGCAGCCCCCTCCTCTCTGCTCTGTCTTTCCGGTGGCCTCCCCACTTCTTCAGCACAGCTACCGATGGGCCCAAGACCTGCAAGGACCAAGCTGCAAGGGAGCACTCGTGGGAGAGAATGCAGAACTGATTATCACCCATCAATCCTGAAAAACGGGCTTCCATCTCAAAGAGAGATGGACAATGTTTGAAAAAGCACATCTATTCCCTTACCCTGATGTGTTTTTTAATTTCCAAAATACAAGGAGGGCATCACTTTAATGCTGTCACCATCAGGGAGAAGGGACAGGCAAAGGTGAAGCCAGATGAAACCTCGGTCATCTTCCTCTGTGACCTGATTTTACTAATTAAGACAAAAATCCATAACAACAGAGGGACTTGCCCAAGGCCACACCCTTAAGAAAGACCCAGTGTTCCCTGGATTCAAAGCCACGAGTGCATGACCCCAGCCTCCCCCCGCCAAGTTCCCTGTTGCAGCTGTCATCAGGGCAAGAATAAAAACAAGGCGACCTCACCTGTGTCTATGCAGGTAGTTACATTATCAGATAACACCTGGCAAGTCACTGGAGGGGACTGTAAGATCCTAAAGTGGGAGGGGGTGTCTAGAACACGAGACCCCTTCGTTCAGGCATTGCAAAGTCCCAGACAGCAGTGGGTACACAGACCTTTATCCTCACAACACGTAGATGGAGACCTAGACTCACAAGCTCCACCTGTGTGCCCTGAGATCATTTGGTCTGGGCAGGTGGGACTCAACATTCCAGTCAATCCATAGCAGGCTACTTGTTAAGGTGATGATTTTGAGTGGCCCACGAATGAAGTCAGAAATCTCCAGATGGCCCTTGGTGGAAGCAAGGGTCTCACTGGCGTCTTCGAGGGCCTAGCCTGTCGCACTCCTTGCATGAGTAAGAAACAACAGCAGAGGAAGCTCAGTGTTGGAAACAGGCACTCCCAGTAGAGGGCAGTAGGGGGCCCTGGGGGCAGGTGAGCTTTCTAACCTGGGGGCAGGTGCACTTTCTAACCTGGGGCAGGTGTGCTTTCTAACCTGGGGCAGGTGCACCTTCTACCTAGGGCAGGTGCACTCTCTAACCTGGGGCAGGTGTGCTTTCTAACCTGGGGCAGGTGCACTCTCTAACCTGGGGCAGGTGCACTTTCTACCCTGGGGCAGGTGCACTCTCTAACCTGGGGCAGGTGCACTCTCTAACCTGGGGCAGGTGTGCTTTCTAACCTGGGGCAGGTGTGCTTTCTAACCTGGGGCAGGTGCACTTTCTACCCTGGGACAGGTGCACTTTCTACCCTGGGGCAGGTGCACTCTCTAACCTGGGGCAGGTGCACTCTCTAACCTGGGGCAGGTGTGCTTTCTAACCTGGGGCAGGTGCACTTTCTAACCTGGGGCAGGTGTGCTTTCTAACCTGGGGCAGGTGCACTCTCTAACCTGGGGCAGGTGCACCTTCTACCTGGGGCAGGTGCACTCTCTAACCTGGGGCAGGTGCACTCTCTAACCTGGGCAGGTGCACTCTCTAACCTGGGGCAGGTGCACCTTCTACCTGGGGCAGGTGCACTCTCTAACCTGGGGCAGGTGCACTCTCTAACCTGGGGCAGGTGCACTCTCTAACCTGGGGCAGGTGCACCTTCTACCTGGGGCAGGTGTGCTTTCTAACCTGGGGCAGGTGCACTCTCTAACCTGGGGCAGGTGCACCTTCTACCTGGGGCAGGTGCACTCTCTAACCTGGGGCAGGTGTGCTTTCTAACCTGGGGCAGGTGTGCTTTCTAACCTGGGGCAGGTGCACCTTCTAACCTGGGGCAGGTGTGCTTTCTAACCTGGGGCAAGTGCACTTTCTAACCTAAACCTTGAATCATACAGTGCGTGTGCTCCTTGCAGTCCAGCACCCCCAGGAAGAAGAGACATAAGAGGCCACGCAGCACCTCCAAAGGATCCTTCCAACTCATCCAGTAGATAAGAAGGCGTGAAGGAGGCGGGATGGAGCAAGAGTGACACAGCCAGTGGCACTGCCTCCACAGGAGAGACCTCTCAGAGCTCAGCCTGCATCCACTGGCCAGGCCTGGCCGTAAGTAAGGCCAGTGCAGGTCAGCACTCCCTCCAGGCTGGAACCTCATGCGTAATTCCTCTGGGCTGCACCAGACACCCCTCCAGCATCCCCTGGCCACTGCTTCCTCTACCCAACAAATGGGTTGGAAAGAGAGAGGGCAGACCACTATGTTGCATCTCCAGGGTACCCAAGGCCGAGCACCCCAGGGTATGAAAGCTTCAAGGAACAAAATTAAAACATTTCCTGCCTCCAAAAAAAAACTGGCCTGGCTTAAGGAGTTGGTGCTTGTGAGATCGAGAAGCAGGTGACAGGGAATGGGAAGACAGCCTTGTCCTGGCACCAACTAAAGGTCACAATGATGGAGACCAGGACGGGGAATGAAGAGCATAACCTTCAAATACCTGTAATACCCGGAGAGTGAACATCACAGCTGAAAATCTTCCATCATGAGTGAGCTTCTAAAATGCTGAAATGATTGCCAAAGTCATTAGAACACTGGGCACCTTCGCTGTTAAACTCACCCAGCTTTTTAATCTCGTGGCTCCGCTCATCTCTCGTCAGGGGAACGTAATTCATCTTCCGGCCACTCTCCCCATAGCCCAGGAGAAACCCGCGTGATCTGCGTGGACTCTTGGCTCCAGACAGGCGTGGCGCCTTCCATGCCACCGACAGCCTGTCGTCCGAGGACCGGACACGCACACGCAAGGGCTTGTTGGGCACTTCCTTTTCTTAAAGAGGACACAACACAGAGAGCGTGAACCCGTGAGTCGCTCTGAGCCAACCATTACGTATGAAAAATCTCTGCAAACGCTGAGCCCAGACCACGAGCTGCAGAGCTCACAACAGCCATTTCTGGTGACCAAGTCTAGGGAAAAGGCTCTCCTCCCCAGAGTTCATACCAAGCACTTAATATAAAAACACCACGTCAGGAGCCTGCCAGCCAGAAAGCCCGAGTGTTTTACAGTCTCCCTTCTCATCTATTTTCTTTGCCTCCATCAGGCCAAAGCTATATATTCTCTGGCAAGTGCTAAAGGGCAACATGAAAATAGAGCAGACACACATTATGCGCTATTTATAGCTGTAAGACGGCTTCGCTTGCCCTTTCAAAGAACCACTGGGAGCTAAGTGCCAGCAGCTTTCCTGGGGGGTTTTGATCTTTTCTTCCCCAAGTCTCGCCCCTCCAGGCAAGACCTGATCATGCCACACCCTCCCTGCTACCCCTGTCTCTGGTTTTCTTCTTGCTAAATTCTTATCCGTTTGGAGAAATCCTCCTTTTAAACTGATTAACCTCAACAAGGCTTCTCACTGTTAACTTTCTCAGAGCAATGTGTCCTGGTGACCAACAGTGTTCCGAGTGTTGCTATGACATCAGATAAGAGCTGTTGTGTCTTAGAACAAGTGTCTGGACAGTGCAACCCATCACCCACTTCTTCACAGGGGACCCATGCCAGCTCCCATGTGAGGCTCCGTTAGGCTGATGGGTGTCTCTCCAATTGTGTAAGCCAGTTACTCTCCAAGCTTCTTCCCTCCACTGCATACATCAAACCCACCATCAACTGGGACTAATTTTATGGGATTGGAACATTTCCAGCTAAGCTATACCCCCACACTGAAACATAAAACCAAAAACTAATGTCACAGGTCAAGTGACCTTCGGTAACATGTAAATAGTGACAGAGGTGGGTATTCTGAAATGCCTGTTGTCTGTTTCCAACGTCCTGGATCTAAACCAAAGGAACTCCTTTTGCAGATTTGCCAGAGCTCCCTCATCAGTCACGGGGACCCCCATCCCTGCGTGTTCCTGAGACAAGGCCATGCGACATCAACAAACGTTTTCCTCAACACACAAAGTAGGAAGAACTGAACAGTTTTGTTTTTAACAGTACAGCCACATGGGTCTTATGGGAGTTAGCTAAAACTAAACGATTGAACAGAGATGGTGTTCCCGGCACACAGGTCTGCCGCAGTCCTGGCCCTGCCAACCCCCAACACTAACCAGCAAAACCTAAAAAAAAAAGACAAACAAAGAAACAAGAATGAATACACACAAGACTCCTGGAGTTTCCTAAAGGGATGGAGTCCCCGAGGAAGGAGTGAGGCTCCAAGGACAAGGAACTCGGTCACAGAGCACGAGTTTGTCTTTGGTGTTCGGCCCACGGCTCCGTCCTGACCCACACCAGGCCCAGCAAGTGCAGCGGCTGCCCACTGAAACTGCACAGCGTCGCTCCACCCCAGACTCCAGCCTCCTGTCTGACCACACCACACAGGCCCACCAGACAGCTGTCAGGCAGGGGCGGAAGCTGGCTCTCACGACCCATTACATGGCCGATGAGGGCACTGCGACCAGTTCGTGGGAAAATGGAATGAAAAAGGAATGCACATTTTCCCTGAACCTTCTAAAGATTCCTTGTATTTTAGATAGAACTTTATTTTTTAGAATTTTTTTTATGTATTTATTTCCATTTTATTTGAAAGGCAGAGAGAGGGGCATAGACAGAGAGATTCTTCCTCCACTGGTTCAATCCCCAAGTGCCTGCAACAGACAGGGCTGGGCCAGCCCAAAGCCAGGAGTCTAAAACTCAGCCCCGGTTCCCCATGCAGGGAGCAAGGACCCAGGTACTTGAGCCACCACCTGCTGCCTCCCAGGGTGCTCATTAGCAGGAAGCTGGACCGGAAGCACCCGCTATGGGAAGCAGGCGTCCCAAGCAACGACTTAACTATCGCAGCCAATGCCTTCTCCGTTGGAACGTCTCGGTTTCCAATAAGCGCTCATGTCATTTATCTTACTTGACCCTACAAAGCCCCAAAGTAAGAATGATAGCATCAACCCCATGAGAAAACTAGAGCTGGCAGAGGAGCCATAGCTAACCTGAGGTCCAGAGCTATTTCCTGCCAAGCAAGCGCCTGAATTCAACCATTGGGACCCCATGCGCCAGCCCCTTTGACCGCGGCCCCTTCCCTGGAAGCTCACCCCCCGACCCAACGCCTCTTCCCCAGCCAAGAGAGCGAAACGCGGGCTTGGGGCTAGCCGTCCTCCCCGCAGAGCACCAACACGCAGCCTCACCCAGCAGGCGTTGAATACAACGAGCCAGGTAGCAAGCGGACGAGAAAAGCATCTCGCCCAAGACGGCCCCAGGAGCAGCTCCCACGACTCCACGGCGCACAGAGTGACGGGAGAAGGTCACCCCTTCAAACACAGTCGCCTCTCTTGCACACCTCTGGGTTTAGAAAAGCCAACCACATACTCTTTCCAAGTGTTTGAACATTTCCCTTCTTTCCTATGCTGGCTCCAGATACCTCCTACATCTTTTATAGATTATCTGGTAATCCCTTTGTGAGCTGATGCACGCATCCACAAAGCTACCCCCATGATTCAAATTCATTGCCGCTAAATCAGTTAAGTGCTTTCCTAAGCTGCGTGTGACAGTCTCACCCAAGCCCTCAGAAAGTTCCCAGTACATCTCTGGAGGTCTTTTATCTTAAAAACAGGAAGTCACTGCAGCCAAGGACAACCAAGCTCACGCCCACCCACGCTGAGTGCGAATCAGACCCGGCAGGAAACGTCCCTGCCATTGCTCTCAGGGCTGGTCGGTGACAGGGGACCTGCAGCCGTCAACCACTTCTGGTCTACGCAGCTAAACTATTGCCACCCAGATGCGGTGGGCGCCAGGAGGCCAGGCAAGAGGAGAGTTTCTCCTGCTTCGTGTAATCAGCTTTGCACACTGGCAACTGCTCTGCAATCGCTCAGCCTCAAAATCCGCTCTTTTCGCAAAGAAAAATACCCAAATTCCAACAGGAAGCTCCACCCACTTAGACTTCCACGCTAGCTAACCGCAGTAGCTTCTGAACTGGCTTCCGCAGGCTGGGAGGCCAGGGTTCGCGTGCCGCCACGTCGGGACTCTCCCTGCGTCCCCGCTTCTCCCTCTGTGGGAGTGCACAGCACAGAGCGTTCGTACGAGAATCCAGGTGAGGCCTCCCGTCCTGTAGCTGCGTGCACTCAGCACACCGCTCGTGGCAGTGGTCTGACAAAAGTGAGCTCTCGCTCCGATGCGTAGCCCGAGTGTGTGGGCCCTTTCGGAGCGTGGGCTGCGAGTTTCACCACCAGGCTTCACAGGCGGGGGCACGGTGGGAGAAGGGAGAGGACTGGTTATAAAGAGCACCGACCATCTCTTCACCTCTGACGCGGCTGATATCCAGACATTCTTCCCTTCCCTCCCCTCCCCTCCCCTCCCCCTCCCCTCCCCTCCCCCTCCCCTCCCCTCCTCTTTCTTTTCTTTTTTTTTTTTTTTTTTTTTTTTTTTTTTTTTTGACAGGCAGAGTGGACAGTGAGAGAGAGAGGACAGAGAGAAAGGTCTTCCTTTGCCGTTGGTTTCACCCTCCAATGGCCGCCGCGGCCGGCGCACCGCGCTGAATCCGATGGCAGGAGCCAGGAGCCAGGTGCTTTTCCTGGTCTCCCATGGGGTGCAGGGCCCAAGCACCTGGGCCATCCTCCACTGCACTCCCTGGCCACAGCAGAGGGCTGGCCTGGAAGAGGGGCAACCGGGACAGAATCCGGCGCCCCGACCGGGACTAGAACCCGGTGTGCCGGCGCCGCTAGGCGGAGGATTAGCCTAGTGAGCCGCGGCGCCGGCCTCCTCTTTCTTTTCTTTTTTCTTTTCTTCTTTTCCCTCCCTCCCTCCATCCCTCCCTCCTTTCTTTCTTTCTTTCTTTCTTTCTTTCTTTCTTTCTTTCTTTCTCTTTCTTTCTTTCTCTCTCTCTCTCTCTTTCTCTCTCTCTTTCTCTCTCTCTCTCTTTCTCTCTTTCTTTCTTTCTTTCTTTCTTTCTTTCTTTCTTTCTTTCTTTCTTTCTTTCTAATTCTCAAGCAGAGTTAGACAGTGAGAGAGAGAGACAGAGAGAAAGGTCTTCCTTCCGTTAGTTCACCTCCCAAGTGGCCGCCACATTCGGTGCGCTGCGCCGAGACGAAGCCAGGAGCCAGGTGCTTCTCCTGGTCTCCCATGCGGATGCAGGGCCCACACACTTGGACCATCCTCCACTGCACTCCTGGGCCACAGCAGAGAGCTGGACTGGAAGAGGGGCAACCAGGACTAGAACCCGGCACCTATATGGGATGCCGGCGCCACAGGCAGAGGATTAACCAGGTGAGCCACGGCGCTGGCCCCAGACAGTTTTATTGTGCCAGGAACTGAAAGAATTCGTCATCATCTTCATCCGCCTCTGACAAGCATTCCTTACTCGAAGTTCTCACTCTTCACTGATGGACAAGAATGTTTGCCCCCTGCTGGCTGGCGGCCACTTTCTCCCGGCCCGGTCTTGCCTGTCCGGGCATCTCATCTTCCTGTAGAATGTGCAGTATTACTCACTCACTCTACAGCTCCATAGAGCGTGGTTTTCCCACCAACCCCACTGCAAAGAGGGCCTTGTCCCCTCTCCCCTCCGTGGCCTGAACTAGCAGGCCTGCGTGCTCATGGGCCTTGCAGCAAAGGGTCTAGGCCACCTGGACTACCGCCGTGAGGCTCAAAGGTTAGGGTGCCCCTGAATCACCAGGGCTCTGGAAACACACACACCCTCAGCCCCACCTTTGTCGGGACCAGGGAAGAGCCTGGGTTTCTGTGCCCTTTGGACGACCGAGCGTAAGGAAGAAGAGAGTGAGCACGAGAGAAAGGAGAGGAGGCGGGGTGGGGGATGAGCCGGTAGGCAGTGGAGATCAACCAAGCACAGCCGGGGGCTG